GTCTTTAGAGAAATCGTATAAGTCTTTTGAGAGCAGACAAAACAATCATCAAGAATCTAATTGGGAACAATGTTGCAAAAAAACTATGCAAATAACTCCCTCACGGATACTTTGCACACATTAACGTATCATTCAGTGTCTTATAATATTAATATAGAGAAGTGTACAGTGTTTCCAGCAAGAAGAATCACAAATTCTGTGTTAAAAGAAAATGGTAACAAAAGCTTTAGCTCTATTCAGAGGCGGCTCGTCCATTACGCGAAGTAAGCGGTCGCAGAACACTTTTTTTGCCAGGGGCGCAGAGGCGCCTCTGTAAATGCCCCTCGATTGCCACTTGAGGAGCGCCCCCTCAGCTCACAACAGCCCTAGCAGTCCGGGGGGAGCCTCGGCTTTCTTGCCTCGCTGCCGGGCGATCCTCTTCCCAAAGGGGCCGGGCCCTTGAGCCTCGCCTAGCCCCTCTCATTCCTGCTCCACCCGGCCACCGGGTGCGCGAGCAGAGCCGGCGCTCAATCGTTCTCCGCGTTCGATCCCTTCCCCATGACCAGCTCCCTTTCCTGATCCCCTTGTGCTCCACCCGCCTCCTCTCCTCTCCCCAATCTGCAGGTGGGCCAAGGGGCGGAGCCGCCACACCTGGCCCACTTCAGGTCCGGAGGTGTGTCTGAAGACCCTAGCATGCGCACCAAAAGTCCCCTCTTCTCCTGACTTTCTCTTCAGCCATTGGGACCAAGAGAGAGAGAGAGAGACCCTCTGGCTGGAGGTATCTCCCACCTCCGCTCCCTCCTTTGTTTTTGCGCCTACCTTCAGGAAAGGTGGGCATCTCCACCTCTGTCTCTCTCTCTCTCTTGGTCCCAATGGCTGAGGAGAAAGTCAGGAGAAGAGGTGACTTTTGGTGCACACGCCAGGGTCTTCAGGCACGCCTCCAGACCCAAAGCGGGCCAGGCAAGGGAGCAAGTGCGGCAAGTGTAGTTACTGGGATGTATAGTTCACCTACAATCAAAGAGCATTCTGAACTCCACCAATGATGGAATTGAACCAAATATGGCACACAGAACTCCCATGACCAACAGAAAATATATATCAATGATTGGTTGAGGGGGGGGGGGGCAAAATACTGTTTGCTTACCGTTGAAAATTATCTAGGACCGCCTCTGGCTCTATTCCAGAGCAAGATTGCCCTGAAGAAAGTTATGATACTTCAAAGAAATTTGTAACATAGTGACAGGTTAATATCCTTCCTCAACAGAGCAATGAATACAGCCTACAGGTTGCTATTTTGTGGATAAGAAATAACAAGGAGCTGCCCAGAAGACAAGCTGTTCATTACATAATAATAATAATAATAATAATAATAATAATAATAATAATAATAATAATCCTTTATTTATACCCCGCTAACATCTCCCGAAGGACTCGGTGCGGCTTACAAGAGGCCGAGGCCCAACACATCAGTAAAACAACAGCATAACAAATACAACAATAAATAAACTCATAAAACAAAACAATAAACATTAAAAGACTAGCAATAAACATTAGACAATAACACCACGATGCAATTAAAACTAAGGCCGGGTCAAATATAATGATTAAAATTTTTAAAAATGCTGGGCATGACAGGTGAAATGGATAGGTTTTTGGGGATAGGTGCGGTGTGCAGACAATCTTAAATCTCTGGTAAAGTGCATTTGTGACATGATGCTTGGAGTTTCCTATTCTGGGAAGGCACACTGGAACAACCACGTCTTCAAGCTCTTCCTAAAGACTGCCAATGTTGGGGCTTGCCTGATGTCCTTGGGGAGAGAGTTCCAGAGTTGGAGGGCCACCACAGAGAAGGCCCTGTCCCTCGTCCCCACCAATCGCGCTTGCGACGCAGGTGGGATCATGAGCAGGGCCTCTCCAGATGATCGGAGAGATCGTGTCGGTTCGTATACGGAGATGCGGTCATGCAGGTAGGCGGGTCCAAACTGTTTAGGGCTTTGTAGGTAAGCACCTGCACCTTGAATTGGGATCGGAAAATGAACGGCAGCCAATGGAGCTCCTTAAACAGGAGGGTTGACCTCTCCCTGTAAGGAGCACCAGTTAACAACCCGGCCACCGTCCATTGGACCACTTGGAATTTCCGGGCCGTTTTCAAGGGCAGCCCCACGTAGAGCACATTACTGTAGTCCAGTCTGGAGGTTACATGGTGGGAACCTCACATAACACCGTTTACCTTAATTTGAATTTACAGACACATTTCCTGCACATCTAACATTTTTCTGACTGACCTCATGTTTAAGTACTAAATGAAAATGTAGGTGTTTATTGCAAGAGCCTGGTCAGAGATATTTGGAATGACTCCAGGAGGGTAGCACACAAGACGTTTTTCTGCAAAAACTCACCCGCCATATTTTCCCTTGGTGTCCGAATTTTTTTTTACCATGCAACACTATTCATATGTCCTCTGAAAAATATTGTCAACAACTTGATAAGGACCCAATCAACATAGCTTGAAAATGAATAATACGTTCAGAAATTAGGGTATTCTTTTTTTTTTACTTAATATAAAAGATCGCTAGAAATTGTAAATATAAAATGACCTGTACTGGAAACATGTGTCAAGACTGGAAACTTATGCTTCCAAATTTGCTGCCTATCTTATACCTTGTTGGCTCCTTCTCACCATCAGATTTGCAAGGGAGCTTTGTATATTGAAAAAGATTATGAGTTACACCCAATGGTAGCTTTGCACTACCAGGAAGCATTTCAGCTCAAGCATTTCAGCTCCCTTCTGAAATGTTGAACAGAAGCTCTCCGAAGCTCTAGGTGCTCTTATTGCCTATTACAGGGAAAACCAGCTGATCCCTAATCCATCTAAAACACAGACATGTGCTTTTCACCTTAAGAACAGACAAGCATCCCGAGCTATTTACCTGGGAAGGAATCCCACTGGAGCATCGCAGTGCACCCAAATACCTGGGAGTTACTCTGGACCGTGCTCTGACCTACAAGAAGCACTGCCTGATTATCAAGCAAAAAGTGGGTGCTAGAAACAATATCATACGAAAGCTGACTGGCATAACCTGGGGATCACAACCAGACACAGTGAAGACATCTGCCCTTGTGCTATACTAGTCTGCTGCTGAGTATGCATGCCCAGTGTGGAACACATCTCACCACACTAAAACAGTAATGTGGCTCTTAATGAGATATGCCACATTATCACGGGGTGTCTGCGCCCTACACCACTGGAGAAACTACACTGCCTACATTGCACCACCTGACATCTGCCAGGAAGTAGCAGCCAATAGTGAAAGGACCAAGGCAGTGACATCTCCAGCTCATCCCTTGTTTGGGTATCAGCCAGCATGTCAATGACTTAAATCAAGAAATAGTTTTCTAAGATCTAAAGAGACACTCGCTGGAACACCCCAGCAAGCGAGAGTCCAAAAGTGGCAGGCTCAAACCCAGAACCTCAATCAATGGCTGATACCAAATGAGAGTCTCCCTCCTGGGCACACATAAAAATTGGGCGTCTTGGAAGGCGCTGAACAGACTGCGCTCTGGCACCACGAGATGCAGAGCCAACCTTAAGAAATGGGGCTACAAATTGGAATCCATGACATGCGAGTGTGGAAAAGAGCAAACCACAGACCACCTGCTGCAATGCAACCTGAGCCCTGACACATGCACAATGGAGGGCCTCCTTGCGGCAACACCAAAGGCACTCCAAGTGGCCAGATACTGGTCAAAGGACATTTAATCAACTACCATGCTTGCAAACTTTGTGTTCTGTCTGTTTGTTTTGTTAAAAATGTAATACAAATGTCTGGTTGCTCCTGACATGATAAATAAATAAGCTCCCTTCTAAAGCACTTTTCCTTGTATCACAGCCTGCTCCAGTGACTGCTCTTCAGAAATAGTAGCATTGCAATGCGAAATGCATGGGGCTGCAGTGACTACGGTAAATGAGTCAAAATCAGCTTTCAACTTGGGGGTGCAGGAGAGCTTTCCACTAAAACAGGCATGGGCAAACTTTCGAACTTGGGGGCCCGCAAGTTAGAAAGTCACATGCTAGCACTCCTTGCTAGGAGGACTGCCTGCCCTGTGATAGAAGGAAGGAAGGGAAGAAGGAAGGAAAGAAAAAAGGAAGGAAGGACAAAAGGCACGAAGAGAAAGATGGAAGGAGAAAGAGGGAGAGAAGAGAAGAGGGAAGGAAAGACAAAATGAAGGAAGGAAGGATGGATGGAGGAAAGAGGGAAGGAAGGATGAAAAGTTGGTAGGGAAGGATGGATGGAAGTAAGGAAGGAAGGCTGGATGGATGAAAGAGTAGAAGGGAATGGAGGGAGGAAAGAGAGGAAGAAGGAAAGAGAAAATGGAAGGAAGGGGAAAGAGGGGGAGAGGGAAGGAAGGATGGAAGGAAGGAAGGACGAAAGAGTGGAAGGGAAGCAAGGAGGGAGGAAGAAAGAGGGAAGTAAGAGAGGGAAGAAGGGAAGGAGGAAGGAAAGAGAGCAAGGAAGGATAAAGGGGGAGGGAGAAAGAGGGGAGGAAAGAGAGAGGGAAGAAAAGACAAAAGGGCAGGAAGGAAGGAGAAAGAGGGAGGGGAGAAGGAAAGAAGGTTGAAAGTGTGGAAAGGAAGAAGAAAGAGGGGGGAAGGAGGAAGGAAAAAGTGAAGGGAGGAAGGACAGGATGGTGAGAGAGAAGAGGGCCCAAGGAGCTGCATCCAGCCCCCAGGCTGGGTTTGCCCACATTTGCACTAACCACCTCAAGATACAACCCTGTTTATGTAATGGAAAAGGCCACCAAGAAACAAATCAATTGACTGGGGTGGTGTGTGGTCTCTGGGCTGTATGGCTGTGTTGTAGCAGCATTTTCTCCTGACATTTTGCCTGCATCTGTGGCTGGCATCTTCAGGGGATCATCTGAAATGTCAGGAAAAAATGTTGCCAGAACACAGCCATATATCCCAGAAACCACACAATACCCTAGTGATTCCTGCTGTGAAAGCTTTCGACAATGCAAGTCAACAAAAGTTTAGCATTTTTTTTCTGAAATGTACAAGAAATGCAATATTAAACATTGACATAAATTTGAACTCCCAAGAAATATTTCTGTGGGTCATTGGTCAATACCATAGTTATATCAGAAAAGAAATATGTGTAAGCAAGTATAAAAAGAAGAGAAAAGTAACAATGATCATATTAGAAAACCAGTGTGACATTATGACATCTATTGGTAACACAATTTCCTTTAATAGGACAGTACTCTTTACACACTTGTATACTTTAAGAAAGTTACATGTATATATCTTGAGATGTACCATTAAATCAAAAATGTTATAGCTTAAATGTAAAGTCAGCAAGCATAATTACTTCTAAAGGCCTGTGTAGAATCTACTGGTGGTGATATTCCTTCAACTGCAGGTTGATGTAATGCAGGAGTGAATCGGATGCTCCTCTTATGCACCTCTTCTAATGGTTTCACATGGTGGTAGGTCTGCCACGTCTGTTTTCCAGAACAGTTGAATCCTCTGGTCTGTTTAAAATGAATTGCACATCCAAGTAAGATACCTAAATAAACTAATGATCCATTCAATAGCCTTTAGTGCAGTGGTTCTCAACCTTTCTAAAGCTGTGACCCCTAAATACAGTTCCTCATGTTGTGGTGACACCCAACCATAAAATTATTTTCATTGCTACTTTAGAACTGTAATTTTGCTACTGTTATGAATTGTAATGTAAATATCTGATATGGATGATGTATTTTTATTGTTACAAATTGAACCTAATTAAAGTGTAGTGATTAATTACAAAAACAATATGTTTGGGGAGGTTGACAGAAGCTAGACCTAACAGTGGGAACTCACCCTGCTCCTTGGATCTGAACTGCCAACCTTTCGGTCAGCAAAATAACACTTTCTATATTGTCGAAACCATGTGCCACTGTCTCTGCTGTTGTTTATGGAAGAAGATCTTTCGACAATATAGAAAGTGTTATTTTGTGTCACTGTGCCTGATATTGTTTAATTGTTATTTTGGAAGCTCTAGTTTCACTGTGTTGACAAAATATTGATAAATTATCTTCTATTTATAACAGTCTTTAATTAATCGTGTGAATGTTCTCATGTTACATTCAATGTAGAAATTCTTGGAACATAGAAATTGTGATTTGCAATCTACAGTGTTTGTAATTGTTGTTATAGATATCTGTGCATGTTACACTTACCTCTGAAGCAGGCAGGGACTGTGAACTTGCCATCATCACACTGAGCAGGTACTTTATAACTACAGTGTTGTTTTTTATTTTTACAGAAAAACCAAATGAACTCCGCATGTTGTACTCCATTCTTGAGGCGCTCTTGCACTTTTACTTTCTGACTGTTGTATAACACAGTGGCTCTTTTGACAGGAATGGCACATGGCGCTGTGGGAAAGGTTGGACAATAAGGCTTATGTTGAAAAGTCAAATGTCACATGAATACAGAACTCTTAATGCAAATGCTAACATTGTTATTCAATAGTTATTTTATTAATAAGCAAAAGGCCTGTTATATAAACAAATCTTCTACAGTGATCTCTCAACTAAAATTATTTCTGGCGTGCCTTGAATTGTCATGTTTCCCTTCTGTCATGTTTTCTATATCGTTACACTGGAAAGTACATGCAAAAAGTATCTGCACATACTATTGATGGTTTTGTTGTTGTTCATTCGTTCAGTCGTCTCCGACTATTCGTGACCTCATGGACCAGCCCACGCCAGAGCTCCCTGTTGGCCGTCACCACCCCCAGCTCCTTCAAGGTCAGTCCAGTCACTTCAAGGATGCCATCCATCCATCTTGTCCTTGGTCGGCCCCTCTTCCTTTTTCCTTCCATTTCCCCAGCATCATTGTCTTCTCTAGGCTTTCCTGTCTCCTCATGATGTGGCCAAAGTACTTCAGCTTTGTTCTAGTATCCTTCCCTCCAGTGAGCAGTCGGGCTTTATTTCCTGGAGGATGGACTGGTTGGATCTTCTCGCAGTCCAAGGCACTCTCAGAACTTTCCTCCAACACCACAGCTCAAAAGCATCGATCTTCCTTCGCTCAGCCTTCCCTAAGGTCCAGCTCTCACATCCGTAGGTGACTACAGGGAAGACCATGGCTTTGACTAGGCGGATCTTTGTTGCCAGTCTGATGTCTCTACTCTTTACTATTTTATCGAGACTGGACATTGCTCTCCTCCCAAGAAGTAAGCGTCTTCTGATTTCCTGGCCACAGTCTGCATCTGCTGTAATCTTTGCACCTAGAAATACAAAGTCTGTCAAGGCCTCCACATTTTCTCCCTCTATTTTCCAGTTGTCAATCATTCTTGTTGCCATAATCTTGGTTTTTTTATGTTTAGCTGCAACCCAGCTTGTGCGCTTTCTTCTTTCACCTTGATTAGAAGGCTCCTCAGCTCCTCCTCGCCTTCGGCTATAAGGGTGGTGTCATCTGCATATCTGAGGTTGTTAATGTTTCTTCCAGCAATTTTCACCCCAGCTTTGCATTCATCAAGTCCCGCACATCGCATGATGTGTTCTGCATACAAGTTTAAAAGGTTGGTTGAGAGTACGCAGCCTTGCCGTACGCCTTTCCCAATCTTGAACCAGTCTGTTGTTCCGTGGTCAGTTCTGACTGTTGCTACTAGGTCCTTGTACAGATTCCTCAGGAGAGAGACAAGGTGGCTTGGGATGCCCATCCCACTAAGAGCTTGCCACAATTTATTATGATCCACACAGTCAAAGGCTTTAGAATAGTCAATGAAGCAGAAGTAGATGTTTTTCTGAAACTCCCTGCCTTTCTTCATTATCCAGCGGATATTGGCAATCTGGTCTCTCGTTCCTCTGCCTTTTCTAAACCCAGCTTGAACATCTGGCAACTCTCGCTCCATGTATTGCTGGAGTCTTCCTTGCAGGATCTTGAGCATTAGCTTACTGGCATGAGAAATAAGGGCCACTGTACGGAAGTTAGTAGTTTATTTTTATTGTTGTAAATATTGTCAACTTTTTTTCCCCTCTGTGTCAATATGAATCAAAACATGGTCATCACAATGTTCCATTATAGTATTTCACACAGGTAACATATTTTAAAAGGTCTTGGATAAAAAAATGTTGTCAAATTCCTTTGAAAGGAGTGGAATATAACATTTACTACAACTGTTTTATCAGTCTTAAATCATACACTAGGATCCCATTTGATCCCTCTAGATCAGTGTTTCTCAACCTGGGGGTCAGGACCCTTGGGGGATCATGAGGGGGGTTTCAGAGGGGTCACCAAAGACTATCAGAAAACACATATTTCTGATGGTCTTAGGAACCCCTTTGGCAGAGAAGGCTGAAGCTCTCTCTGCCTGTCTTTCTCTTCCTTGTTGGTGTTGGTGAACTACAACTCCCAGAATTCTAAAACAACCCCAAACCCACCGGTATTCAATGCTGGCCATGTAGTTAGTCTAGTTTGGTGCAGATCCATTGTGGGCTGGGTTCAGAGTGCTCTTTGATTGTAGGTTGACTATAAATCTAGCAATTACAACTCCCAAGTGTCAATGTCAGTTTTCCTCAAACTCCACCAGTGTTCACATCTGGGCATATTGAGTATTTGTACCAAGTTTGGTCCAGATCCATCATTGTTCGAGTGCAGTGTTCTCTGGAGGTAGGTGAACTACAACTCAAAAACTCAAGGTCAATATCCACCAAAACCTTCCAGTATTTTCTCTTGGTCATGGGAGTTTTGTTTGCCAAATTTGGTTCAACTTCATTGTTGATGGAATTCAGAGTGCTTTTTGATTGTAGGTGAACTATAAATCCCAGCAACGACAACTTCCAAATGACAAAATAAATCCTCCCACCTCACCACACTAGTATTCAAATTTGGGCTTATTGGGAACTTGTGCCAAATTTGGTCGAGCGAGTGAAAATACATCCTGCATATCAGATATTTACATTACGATTCATAACAGTAGCAGAATTACAGTTATGAACTCGCAACGAAAATAACTGTATTAAGGGGTTGAGAAACACTGCTCTAGATCTATGAGGTGGCAAGTCAAAGAAGAAAGAGAACGTCTTGTGGGCTCATTACCTGGATCTATTGATTGAGTTATTTTGTCAGCAGATATCTCCTGGTAGATTTTGGGCATTCTGTCCGTGTCACCTTCTACCATGAAATCATTCTAGTTCATGTAGGTATTTATAGCAACAGAGAATTACTATCACTGGTCAGCTGACCTAAACTATCTGATGGATTCGTGAACAAAAACAATATTGATTGATGTTTCTATCCAGAGTTCATCATTTCCCATGTGGATGTTTTTTTAATGATTGCATTAAAATCGTATTATAAACATCAAACCTTTTCTGAATATTCACACTGATATACCAGATACTAAATTGTATCTCTGCACTGCAAATTACAATGATTGCATAAGCTGTATTGTAAATATATTACGCCATCTGTGCTGTCTTAGAGATCACTAAACTCCATACCTCTGCAGGTTGGTTTTCTTGACCATTGGCCTGTCTTCTCACATCTGGATTCTACAGGTCCATCCAGCACATATGTTGGATTGCAACCATAGGTCACAGTTTCTTTGTAATGGTATGGTCTGCGAAGAAGCAAATATATGTATCCATTTTCTATACCATCTGGTCGTGGACATTCTACAGCTGTGGTAAGAAAAAGTGAAGGATCTTGTAAGAAGATGCAATATTAGGTTTCATATCCAAAGCAAAAGAAAAGCTCTGTACTCGTTCCAAAGCCAATGTTTCAGGAAAAAAACAGCAGAACTAGTACTTTAGAAAGATTCATAGAATCATAGAATTGGAAGAGACTGCATGAGCTAGTCCAACCCGCTGTCATGCAGGAAAAACACAAAGTACCCCCAATAGATAGCCATCCAGCCTCTGTTTAAAAGCCTCCAAAGAAGAAGCCTCCACCACACTCCAAGGAAGAGAGTTCCACTGCTGAACAGCTCTTATGATCTCATCACAAAGGGCTAAAATCGGTGGCATGCACTAATTTTAGCCCAGATTACACCCAGACCCATCAAATGACACCAGCGTGGTTCTGTGGATGAAGGAAGGCTCTTATATTGCTGTAGAATCCATGGGGGGAAGCCATGCACTCATGCTATATCTGGGTGATGTGCGGCATGGGGCACCAGATTCCCCACGTCGCTCTACAAAGTGGAGTGACACCAATGGCCATGTGATAAGATTGTTATGGTTAGGAAGTTCTTCCTAATATTCCTGGAATTTGAATCCATTTTTCCGAGTCCGAGTCGCACTCTCTGGCCCGGAGTGTGGTGGAGGCTCCTTCTTTGGAAGCTTTTAAACAGAGGCTGGATGGCCATCTGTCAGTGGTGATTTGAATGCAATATTCCTGCTTCTTGGCAGGGGGTTGGACTGGATGGCCCATGAGGTCTCTTCCAACTCTTTGATTCTATGATTCTATGATTCTTCCTTATGACACCCTTGCACATATTTATACATTGCTATCATGTTTCCTCTCAACCTTCTGTTCGGTAGGCAAAACATACGCACTGCAGTTCTTTAAGATGCTCCTCATAGGGATTCATGGTATCCAGACCTTTGATCATTTTAGTCACCTTCCTCAGGATATTAATAAACTCATTTATTAATGTGCTGGACGGGGTCGCACTCCCCTTGAAGGCGCAGGTTCGCAGCTTGGGTGTGACCCTGGATTCGTCGCTGAGCCTGGACCCCCAGGTCTCAGCGGTGACCAGGGGAGCATTTGCACAGCTTCGGCTCGTGCGCCAGCTGCGCCCGTATCTTGGGAAGTCTGACTTGGCCACGGTGGTACACGCTTTGGTCACATCCCGCCTCGACTACTGCAACGCTCTCTACGTGGGGCTGCCCTTGAAGACGGCCCGGAAGCTTCAGCTAGTCCAGCGCGCGGCAGCCATGTTGTTAACCGGAGCGGGACGTAGGGAGCATACAACGCCCCTGCTGTCCCAGCTCCACTGGCTGCCGATCAGCTACCGGGCCCAATTTAAGGTGCTGGTGTTAACCTACAAAGCCCTAAACGGTTCCGGCCCAAAATACCTTGAGTACCGCATCTCGGCCTACGAGCCCACGAGGACCTTAAGATCATCCGGGGAGGCCCTTCTCTCGGTCCCGCCTGCCTCACAGGCACGCCTGGCGGGGACTAGAGAGCGGGCCTTCTCGGTGGTGGCCCCCCGGCTGTGGAACTCCCTCCCTGCTGAAATCAGACAGGCGCCTTCCCTCATGGCCTTCCGCAAGGGCCTGAAAACCTGGCTCTTTGAAAAGGCCTTCAACTAAGTACTATATTTTTGGAATGACCACCGGAATGGACTATGGCTACGAGACTGATTATGACCCAAACATGACGAGCGGATTTTTAGTTTAATTAGTTGTGTTAGTAAGATGTGTGTTATGGTCCTGATTTATTGTAACTGTTGTCTTTATGTTCTATGTTCTGTACACCGCCACGAGTCGCCTTCGGGCTGAGAGTGGCGGTTAACAAGTGCAAATAATAAATAAATAATAAATAAATTTTCCTCCTTTCTGCATCGTCTTCAAAATAACAGCATTGTATTCATACAAACATTCACACAAACACTTACATCTGCATTCTGGTACTGCACTCCATTTCCCATCAGCCTGACAGACAGCTATTTCATTTCCAAACAGGGCATAAGGCAATAAACATTCAAATTTGATTTCGTCTTGGAAGACTGATATGTTTCCTGGCTTAAGTCTGTGGTACAAAAGGACTGAAAATTCACAAACTGGAGGTTGAGGACAAATCACAGCTGGAAAAACAAAACAAATTTACTTCACATAGTGGAATCACCATATAGAAGGTTTTCTTCCTATATTATTGGGGTAGAAAACCCCGGGACTCTTGACTGTTGTCCTTTGTGCTTCCCCAAAGAACTGAATTCTGTTCTGTCATTAATCAATGGTTTCTCAGGCCCCTTCCACACAGCTGAATAAAATCGCACATTATCTGCTTTGAACTGGAATATATGGCAGTATGGACTCAGATAACCCAGTTCAAAGCAGGTATTGTGAGATTTTTTGTTTTGATATTCTAGGATATAGGGCTGTGTGGAAAGTCTTCCAGTTTTCTACAGTTCTTTCCTATTCCTTTTATAAAATTTCTCTACTTGGAACAAGTGTGTTCCAGTAAAATATGCTGATTTTTTTTTTATCCAATTCCTTGAAATTGGCTGTTTGGTTGAAGGAGGGCCCCCACATTATCAGATGGAATTTATTATACAGTATTGTGTATGGTTCCCCGCCCCGCCCCCCCCCCCCATGAAACTGTAAAATGCAGTACAGTAGCCAATTATTTTTTTTTTAAAAAAAACTTGTAATACCTTCCTTTTCTTAAAGAAGTTCAAGCATTTAGAAGAACAGGAATCTATATCAAATGTGAAAGATTCCCCCAAATTGTATTTCAATTCCAGGCAGATTTTGTTCCCATCTTCAATTTAATTTATTGAATAGATTTGAAATCCAGGAAACACTTTGTACCCATCAAGTAAATTTCAATGCTAAATGTAGGTAAAATATTCCAAAATGGGGTCACCTTGAATGAACACAACATCTCAGTTTATCCACTGCCGAATATGTTCCAAGTATAATAATTAGACCTGTGCAAAAAGTCATTTGTGCCTCATATGTTGGATTTATTTGGTAAGATTTGTACATACATGCCAATATTAAGAAACATGGCATGCGCCCACGCAGAAAAGTTAAGAATCGAAACACTCACCTATGACTTTTCATTAAAGTTCAGTAAACCTCATAAGTCTCCAAAAGTCAGTTTCATTTTCAGCACCAGCAAACTGTACTAGTGGTGCAAAGCCAAAGAGGCCGATCCTTTTTAAATTAAGGAGAGTCAGGTTGCCTGTCACCATTGTGAGAGCGCAAGCAAACTTGGGAGGAAGACTGAGAGAGACACATTAAGGCTTGAAAACCAGCGACCCTTTTATTCTGATGTGAACAGAATTCTGGGAAATGTGGTTTGAGAAGGCAAGGACCCCTGTGGCAGAGATTTCTCATCCCAGCAGCATACAGGAAGAATACAACCCCCCTGTTACATCAGCTCCACTGGCTACCTAAGCACAATTCAAAGTGCTGACTTTAGCCTATAAAGCCTTAAACGGTTCTAGTTCAGCATACCTATCCCAATATATATCTCTCTATGAACCATCTAGGAGATTAAGATCTTCTGGGGAGGTCCTGCTCTCGGTCCCACTTCCATCGCAGGTGTGGCTGGTGGAGACAAGAGCCAGGCCTTCTCAGTGGTGGCCCCTCAGTTGTAGAACTCCATCCATAGCTATATTAGATCAACCCCCTCCCCTCTGACCTTTAGGAAAAAACTAAAAACATAGATGTGGGATCAAGCTTTTGGATAATCTACTAGTGCAATAAGTAAAAATGTGAAATTTTCAATAACAGGCCATGGATTTGGATATTGAATTATGGGATTTTAATCATTTTAATGTTGAATTGTTTGAGTGGTTATTTTAATACAGATGTATATGCTTTATTTGCTGAATATGCATTGTATTATAGGGCAACGCATTGCGGCTTTATGTGTGCCGCTCTGAGTCCCTTTCAGGGTTAGAAGGGTGGGATATAAATATGGCAAATAAATAAATAAATAAAATTCAAAAGACTCTGCCCTAAACTACATTTCCCAGGATTCCACTCACATCAGAAACCCCAATGAGGTAGGGGAGAGCTATTATCCATCCATAGCAACAGCCAGCCATGTGGTTTAGAGTTCCAATAAATTATTGAATTGCAAAGAGAACTGAGGTCTATGCTAGGCTAGAAGGAAAATTCCAAAGTTGAAGTTTTATGGTATGTTATATATCATATAGAGGCATTCAAGGGGATAGCTGTTGTGGCTTTAAAAAAAAGTTTTTGTCAAAACTTTTAAAATTGTCCAAAAATCAGTAGATGTATGAAACTTTCTGAAACTTGGAATGATGCCCTGGTTATCTTCTGTCATTATAGAAAAAATCAAGGAAATAGTTCTTGTAGTTTTTTTAAAAAATAAATGTTTGAAAAACTTTTTAAAATCCCGGAAAATCAATGATTGAGAGAAATATTTTGAAACTTGGGGGGGGGGGTTAACAGTGGTAAATGTGTTCTAGAATTGGAGCAAGTGATAGCTCTAACAATGAAGGAGAAAGAAGCCCCTGAAGTTTCCCCACTGGCACATTACTTAACAAAAAAGTAACAAAAAATCCATTACTTTGTTATAGTTGAAATCAAAACCCTTTATATTTTAGAAACACATTAAAATTATTTGTCTCTCCCCCCCCCCCCCCCAAATTTAGTAATAAGTATTGAAACAATATTTTTCATTGATCGCACAGCCCTATACTTCCTCAGGCATGATTCTACTTCAGTTTTCACAAAAAGAAAGTTGAAGATTTTCCACCTTACAGACTCGCACAACTTTCCATATAGAAGTCTGTTTTGGTTTCTCTTTGTAAGAACTGACCGGACATCACCACAACGAGGAGCTATAATATCTGAAGTATATTGGACAGTGGACTCTATATGATTTTAAGGTTTCCTCCATTTCTGTTTCTGTATTTGGTGTATTCCTTACTTTCAAATGCAACCACTCAACCATTGTCACCAACTCACTATTTTCAGAACCAGCCTTTGAGCCTGATTCCATTCCTTTATATCCAAAATTAGCCTTATCAGTCAGGTATTTTAGCATTAGCACATTTCTCAAAAGCATTTTGATGCCTTTGTTATCAGCAATATTAGTAATAAATTTCTCTACTTTCCATCCGCATGAGTCAGTTGCCCTCCAAGTATCTTTATATAGATACTAATAATTCATCTTACATACGTTGACATTTAGGAAGCTTAGCACTCCATTGCCCATTTTTTAGGCATTGACTGGTGTTAGGTCCTTGAAGAATATACCTGAAAAATATAATATTTATACAGTCGCAGTTTATGGAATATTCACATGAGGAATTTATGAACTTCTTCGTGCTATATGATTTTTATATGTATAAAAAGGAACTCCAAGTGCAGAACATTACTAGAATTTTCAGGTCATATTCTGTATTAGCTATACCCACCATGTGTTGCTGTGACCAACCTTCCCTCTTTCTCTCCTTCTTTCTTTTTCTTCTTCCTTCCCTTTTTTCTTTCCTTCTCTCCTTCCTTCCTTCTCTTCCTCTTTCCTTTCTCCTCCCTTTTCTTTCCCTTCCTCTTTCTCCCCGTTCTTCCTTCTCTACCTATTCTTGGACTGCAACTCCCAGCAGTCCTCCTGATCAATCTATTTACCTATATATCTCTATCTAATCTATCTATCTGGAGAATTGCTGGGAGTTGCATTCCAGGAGTAGGAAATTGGAAATATACAGGAATTGGATTCTCTCAAAGAAATCCAAGGAGAAGAAAACTTGCATCTTGGAAGCAGTGCATTTGGATCATCCTCCTCTCCTAAAGGGCCTGGTCTAGGGGATGCTGGGAGCCAGAGGCGGCCCTAGGTAATTTTCAATGGTAAGCAAACAGTATTTTGGCACCCCCTCCCCAACCAATCACTGATATGTATTTTCTGTTCGTCGTGGGAGTTCTGTGTGCCATATTTGGTTCAATTCCATCATTGGTGGAGTTCAGAATGCTCTTTGATTGTAGGTGAACTATACATCCCAGTAACTACAACTCGCATACATCAAGGTCTATTTTCCCCCAAGAGCGCCCCTGGGCAAAATCAACTTACTTTGCGTAATGGTTTGAGCCGCCCCTGCTGGGAGCTGTAGTCAAGAAGACAGTGTGGATATGCTATTGTGTGTTTTGTTTGCCAAGGGGGTCATATTTGCACATGTGCTATAGTGTCTTTTGCTTTTTTGGCTTTTTAAATCCCTTCTGTGTTTTTCAGTGTTTTTATGAGTGATGGTCACTCATTGGCCTGCTAGGTGTATTGTGTCCAAATTTGGTGTCAATTTGTCCAGTGGTTTTTGAGTTATGTTAATTCCACAAACTAACATTACATTTTATTTATATAGATATCATACTTAATCTGTAATACAAGCAGGATTCAACAAGTCATAATTCAAGCAAACATCAATGATTAGGTCAAACATCCTGCAAGATGTCTTTCCAAAATTTCTATTTTGTGGGAATCAAGCCTCCCACAAGATGGTAACACATCCTAGCGTCCCCTGGGTAACACCTCTGTAGACAGCTGATTCTCTTACACCAAAGAATCAGCTGCGGTATGACTTGCAGTATGTTCTCAATTCACTTCTGACACTACACACACACACACACACACACATAGTTGGACTGCATAAAGACACCGTTCCACAACATGGATGTGTTTGGAAATATTTTACTTTAGCCAACAAGTACTTTTTAGCCTTTAATATTAAAAAGTGTACAATTGCTTCTGCCAGGATTTCATAAGCTTTTTAGTGGGTGTAAAGGAATAGTTTGGAATGAAAATACTGTCATTGTGTCAGAAATACAGAAGCCTTAATTGTGCAGAAGAAATAGGCTGATTCTGTCCCATAAAAAAACTTTTTGTAGCAACATTTTAGATGATTTGTCATTTATTTGAATTGACTGATTCATTTATCCCATGACAAACGTACTACATATTGAAAAGCTTGAAAACAGTCGTTGGCAAATGCAATTGCAGATTGTTGATAATAATTATCTATGCTCAAATATGTTCCAACCTCTTCAAAGAATCTTTCAAAGTTTGGGAGACACTTACTGGTTTTTGTAAAAGACAGAAATATATTCTCAGCATATAGTTATATAATGTGCTCTTTTAATTAATTCTGATTCCATTAATATTATGCTCAGCTCCAACTGCTTTCTAAGGGCACTTCCCCACAGTCATATAACCCAGAATATCAAGACAGAAAATCCCACAATATCTGCTTTGAACTGTGTTTTCTGAGTCTGTACTGCCATATATTCCAGTTCAAAGCAGATAATGTGGGATTTTATTCAGCTGTGTGGAAGGGGGCTATGTAATAACAAAAAAAGGGGGGTGGCAACATTTTCCAGTTCCCCTGCTTAAGCAAATTGGTGGTGAGTCTACCAGTATTTTATTTATGTGGGTAAATGCAGCAGAACGTTAATAAATTTGATAGGTGGCTAATAAAAAGATTATGTAACATCCACCTCCTTCTCAAAGCATGAGGAGGTGTAACTAATTCAGATTCTCAAAAGATTTTTATTACTTTTGGCTATGGAACAGAATTAGCCTTATTGAAGTTTGGCAGTGAAATACTATATTTAAGGTTCTTAAAATCACATCTAAGAGTTTGCAATTTGGAACAAATCCAACCTGGTCTGATATAGCAATATAAATGTGTTGAATCTGGTTTTTTTTAAGATCTCAAGTTCTTCAAGTTCTGATTAAAAGGTTTTGTGTCTATAGGCTGCTTTTTTATTGTGTCAGAAGCTAATTGAGAATACACTGCAAGTCGCTTTTGGTCTGAGAGAATTGGCCAACTGCAAGGACGTTGCCCAGGGGATGCCAAGATGTGTTACTACCCTGTGGGAGGCTTCTCGCATGCCCCCACATGGGAAGCTGGGGCTGACAGATGGGAGCTCTGGTCTTCAGGTCAGCAGTTTAATCCATTGTACCATCACAGTTCCTTTATAGACTGCTACCTGGCTGGTAAATCTACCGAATTTGTAAAATTTTGCAGAATGTTGTGATCAATCCAAATGTTTAACAAAAATTACCTGTTTGTTTGTTTTGCATTAAAACAAATCTTGAGTGGTGTTAGGAAATTAATATTATGTTGAGATCCACAGTGACCAGAACCAAAAAGCAAAGTATTTGAAAACCAACAAGGCAGACAAATGTATAACTGAGTTAGTGGCCTAAATCATACTGGTGAATCAAAGTAGAGAAAACTTCATTTAGCAATTGTTAAATTTAAAACACAGACAAATCCTATGGATTCAATGAGTATACTCCAGTTTGATTTAACCATGGGATTTAGGCCAATATATAGCTTCTAGTATTTATGGTTATCTCTCCGAATCCAAGACATGCTATCCAACATTTTAGAGAGAAAAAAGATAATATATTTCAATAGTGAGAAAACATACGACTTACCCTGGGTCACATGAAAAGTTTATAAAATTTGGGTAGCTGAAATCTGTAAAATGTATATTTCCATTCTTCAAGAGTCCAGGATCAGGACATTTTTTTGCTGTTTGAATACATGAGATTTTTTTTCATTATATTTAGATGATTAGAGAGATAGATGAACAGACCATTCCAGTCTTAAGGCAATCAAGTGCTTTCAATGATCCTTTACATATTGTATTCACAAAAGCCACATGGGAAAAAAGATGTATTACAATACATTGTGGGTTTTTATGAAACCTCCAAATACACTTCTGGAATATTATGGAAGGCAGGTGGATATGAGATTATCCAGTGGCCACTGACCAAATAGTCCTGCTACTGAAAAATATACAAAGCAGAAAAGATATACAAAGCAGAAAAGCCCTCCATGTTCAACTTCCAGGTAATTGGCTTTGATGAATAGAGGTGCATCTACACCAGGAATGGGCAAACAAAGGCCTAGGTGCTTACTTCAGGCCCTCCTCATTTCCCTGTCTTCTCAGCATTAGGACACTTATGTGGAAAGGATGGAGGAGGAAGGTACGCAGCAGTTGAGTGCTCTCTGGAGCGCTTTCAGTCACCTTATGTCTCACCCTCCTCCCAGCATAAGGACTGTGTGAGCAACCCTGTCCTTATGGCAAGAGGATGGCTCAAGGAAGTTATGGAGTGGCTGAGAGCCGGCTCAGATGTCACCTGTCTTGTCCTCCTCCGAGCATAATGCCGAGATGACAGCCCAAAGATCAGGGGAGGATGATTGAGCGGTTGCTACATGTCTCATTTTCCTACCGACATAAGGATGGGGCAAGCAACCTCATCCTTATGCCAGGAGGACAACCTGAGGGTGAACTCCTGGCCTACAGCCCAGCTTCTGCCTACTTAGCAGTTTCAAAAATAGCAATGTGAGCAGTGGGTTAAAGTGCTGAGCTGCTGAGCTTGTTGACTGAAAGGTTGCAGGTTCGAATCCAGGGAGCGGCGTGAGCTTCCGCTGTCAGCCCCAGCTTCTGCCAACCTAGCAGTTCAAAAACATGCAAATTTGAGTAGATTAATAGGTACCACTTCGGCGGGAAGGTAACGGCGCTCCATGCAGTCATACCAGCCACATGACCTTGGAGGTGTCTATGGACAACCCTGGCTCTTCGGCTTAGAAATGGAGATGAGCACCACACCCCAGAGTTGGACACGACTGGACTTGATGTCAGAGGAAAACCTTTACCTACCTTAAGCAGGGAGGTATTTAAGGCACCCATAAGGAAATGCCAGAAAAATGCCAGTGATTTGATCAAGGAGGAAGTTTATGAACAAAGCTCTTTGGCAGGGAAAGTGGAGTGACAGCACCCCCCAGTAGCCAGAACTGAGCACAGCCTCCAAGATGCAGAAGATGGGAAAGCCTATATATATCTCTGTCTGCGAGTATGTACAATTGTCTGTCTTGTCAGTGTATAACAGCATTGAATGTTTGCACTCTGAGTCCCCTTCGGGGTGAGAAGGGCAGAATATAAATACAGCAAATAAATAAATAAATAAATAAATAAATAAATAAATAAATAAATAAATAAATAAATGATGGAATTCCCCCAAGTGATAAATTTCCATTCAGTTGTTAATTTCTCAGGTTTATTCTAGCTGGGATTATTAGTTCCTTAGTTGGGACTGGGATTTATATTCCATTGATGCCTTCCTGCCCTAATCTGTGTACATTCAGCAAAACGGACTTCTGTGGATGCAGGACGTACAACAAATTCTTAGAGTGTCCCTGGTGACACAGATTATATGCTTTGCTTGCACTGAGTGGAATGGAAATAAACACATCCTGTATATAACTGTCCATTAATTAACATAATCATTTCCTTTAATGGAGCCTTTTTAGCACAAATCAATTGCTAAAAACCTGTCCTGTCCCCCACAGGATGGATAAAAGTAAATTGCCTAGAATATCTAAGGTGTAGTAAATCATGATGATCAGTCCCAAAGATAACACTGTACTTTTTCTTGTTTTAAAGGACTTGAAAAGCTTACCCTGTGCTGCAAAGACACTATGCACAAGAGCAACAGTCCCTACGATGAGAAGGACTGGAGACATGATTGCAGAATTGCAAGCTGATAAAATGAGCTCAAACACAGTACTTTGGTTCCTAAAAAAGAAAACAGAAATAGATAAATATTTCCTGACATGGTTTATGTATTTATTTATTGCATACAAATTGAGGAGGAGTCAATTCCTAGTATATACCTTGAACGGTGAGTTAGGCAAAACATTATGCCATTCTTATATGAATCCAGATAATGGGTGATTTCAAAGGTTTGGTTGAAAAATGATTGATTGGATTAAAGGTGATCACATTCACAATAGAGTGTACTATTTCTTCTGACTCAGATCTAAACATCCCATTGCAGACCTTGCCATTTTGGAGAGCTATGCCTGTTAAGCATTGTTGTCTCAGGAAAGATACCTTAACTGCTGTTGTAGTTGTTTATTAATGCTTAGACCAGTGTTTCTCAACCAGGGGTCAGGAACCCTGGGGGGGGGGGGTGTCATGAGAGGTGTCAGACGGGTTGCCAAAGACCATCAGAAAACTCTGTTAGTCATGAGGGTCCTGTGTGGGAGGTTTGGCCCAGTTCTATCATTGGTGGGGTTCAGAATGCTCTTTGATTGTAGGTGAATTATACATCCCAGCAACTACAACTTCCAAATGTCAAGGTCTATTTTCCCCAAACTCCACCAGTGTTCACATTTGGGCATATTGTTTGTGCCAAGTTGGGGCCAGATCCATCATTGTTTGAGTCCACAGTGTTTTCTGGATGTAGGTGAACTACAACTCCAAAACTCAAAGTCAGTGCCCACCAAACCCAGTATTTTCTGATGGTCATGGGAGTTCTGTGTGCCAAGTTTGGTTCGATTCCATCATTGGTGGAGTTCAGAATGCTCCTTTATTGTAGGTTAACTGTAAATCCCAGCAACTACAACTCCCAAATGACAAAATCAATCCCCCTGACCCCAGTATTCAAATTTGCGCGTATCAAGTATTTGTGCCAAATTTGGTCTAGTGAATGAAAATCCATCCTTCATATCAGATATTTACATTATGACAGTAGCAAAATTATAGTTATATGTAGCAACGAAAATCATTTTATTGTTGGTGGTCACCACAACATGAGGAATTGTTTTAAGGGGTCATGACATTAGGAAGGTTGAGAACCACTGGCTTAGACCCATAGGCCATTCACATACAGATAAAGAAATATGACATAAAAGTGCAACAATATTAAATACTACATAAAATAATGAGCATATAGATCTTTCTTATTAAGATTCAATCCAATTGAAATACATGACACTTCAGCTACAAACAACAGTGCTAACATTTTGATTAGACAAAATTTCATCCACTAAGAGCATTCACATGGCCATCAACTGCAGTATCAGCAGTAAATATGAAAGCTTATGCATTTTCCTTAAGACCTTGTCAACCAACAAATGGTGGAAAGTGAAACTAAAAATAAAACCTTATCTCCCACAAAAATGAAAAAAAAGCTATTTTAAATACAAAATCTATGGTGTATCATTCCTTTAGTGGTTCTCAACCTGGGGTCCCCAGATGTTTTTGGCCTACAACTCCCAGAAATCCTAACAGCTGGTAAACTAGCTGGGATTTCTGGGAGTTGTAGGCCAAAAACATCTGGGCACCCCAGGTTGAGAACCACTGCATAATGCAGTTCTCTTTTCATGCTAAATAATTAGATACGCTTACCTTAAACTATAAGTACAGTATATGTTAGAGCATCAGTCCATAGGATGAGCAAGGATGGAGGTATTGCTGCTGGATTCCAAGCTGCCAAATCAGCCTAAACTCAGAACGTTGCCTCCTAAAATTAACAGGACAGAAAGGATAAATATTAACACACATTGTTTATTTATGTTGTCTAGTACACACAGCCAGAAAAGAGAAATTCCCCATGCTGCTGAGTAAACAGACTTAACCTTCAGGCAAAAGTCTGTGCAGTCTTCATCAGAATCCATAAAGCAGTGCAGTTCAAAGGTCTAGTTGTTCTGAACGAATTGCTTCATGACATAATATTTATCAGCGGAGCTGATTGGAGGAAACTGATGCAGTGGGTGGTGAGTGATTCACAATAATAATAGGGAGTATTGTCTCATCTTTCCAAATCAACATCTCATTTCATTTCTTTGGAAATGTCAAAACTGGAGGAAGTTCAAGCTCACAATCCTTAGCCCTTAGGGCAAAACGATTAGATAAAATCAGTCAAATTGTGTTTGAAATTCCCAAGACAAAAAGAAGCAACTTGATTTTAGAACTTTAACTAAATGTGCATTTGTCAACAATGACAACAACAACAACAACACATTTTATTTATATTCTGCCCTTCTTCCCTAGGGGACTCAGAGTGGATTACAGCATTTATAGCAGACATAGGCAAACATTCAATGCCTTACAATAGCATACAATGAGACACACAAACACAGACAAGGCAAAGGCTTCTCCTTTCAGTTCTGGCTTTTGGAGACGGTGCTCGTCTCTGGCTCTGGGAGAGGTGTTCTTCTCCATTTTCAAGCTAAGTTGAAAATTGTCACCTTTCTGTTGTTGTCACCTTTCTGTTGTGTTGCCAGCAAGACTGCTTGGAGCATCTCTTTTGCCTTTTTCCGCCGAAGTGGTACCTCTTTATCTACTCACATTTTGCATGCTTTTGAACTGCTAGGGTAGCAGGACTGGGGCTGACAGAAGGAGGTCATCCTGTCCTGCAGATTTGAACGGTCAACCTTCAGGTCAGCAGTACAGCAGCACAAGGGTTTAACCTACCTTAACATTGTTTATCTACCTTAACAATGATTCAAAATCTAATTTAATATGATTTTTAAAATCTTATTCACAATCACTACTTAAATGCATTGAAACTTTTCTAGTAACATTCCAGTCTTTCTCCAATACAGACTTAACTTGTCGTAAGCCCACCAAATTCAACATTATTACTGATTCTGAATAATTACACTACTTTAAATAAATGAATATGCAAAATAGACATAATCAGAGACAGATATATACTGAAACAAATTCTGCTGGAGTCCATGTGGCAGTGAAACTGTTGAGATTAACTTCACAATTCAGCAGCAGATAATTTGCACAACTTCAGCGCTTTCCAGTAGCTTCTTCTGCACAGTATTTTCAGTCAACTGCTTCCACAGCCTGCAGTCACTCTGGAACCTTTTACAGACACTTGAGCACATGCCCGGCCATTGTCAGTTTTACTATTGTCTTTCCCCCAGTCTAGATGATATTATAAACTTACCACAGCATACAGTTATATCTTGTCTTAGCAGACAGGTTCTTTAATTACATATAGCCTTCGATGAACAACATCACAGCACAAGGAGAAATATACACTGTACATGACTTCCTTATATACAATTCATTTACACATAGCAATCACCGATTGGTTCCCAACTCATTGACTCAACTCAAAGCCAGGATTACATCATTCACAATCACCTGGACTAGGCCAGACCACATTCCCCAAATGAAGTTCTATATACAGTTAATGCATGACTCGGCATTTCCAATAGAAGCCCATTAGCAGTGCATGACTCAGCTATATTATATTACAATACATTGTAAAACCTGACACAAATAATAAAATAGTATATAAAATGGTGAACTAACCTAAACTTGACTTAAAAATCAGTACAATCAATGCAGTTCAACACCACTCTGATTAGGATAGCTCAATTAAATAGAATCACGAGAGACGTAGTTTTACAAAGTCTTTAGTCTTCTCTGGTTCCTCACCAAACTACAACCCTGGATTCCATAGAGATGTCTCCTAAAGCGTATGTTCTACTGCCTTTAATGGACTGTACTCTCAGGTTAGTCTGCATAAGTTCACAACTTGCATTTTAATAGTCTCAAAGATACCTCCTGAATGGTTCAGTGCTTCTGATCTGAGGAGGCAAAACCTTGAGAGAGCTCTAGCATATATTTGTAGTTTTCACTTTCATTTTAAAACTTTTAATAAAAATAAAATAATGAAAAGTGTGCCCTGCTTAGGGAGGAAGGATTATCCTGGGCAGTATTTTATGTTCATAGTTTAGGTCTGGAGTCTTAGAAGCATTCATTGTAGTCTCTTAGGAGAACTCAGGAAGGGATCCTTCATTATAATCTCTAATGGTTGTATTTCTGTTATGTAACCAAGGATGAATTAATGGAACACAAGTGCTCAAAACACTACTGCTAGCAACTCTTTTTTCTCTCTGTGCACACCTTCTTTTTGTTGCACCAAGATGGAGTCCATACATCATGTTACAAATTAAATCACACGGCCATAACTTTAATGCAAATACAATAGTCACCAATCAGCTACATTCATAACTAAAATTCTTCTTGAAGTAGACCATTTGTTGGCAAAGTAAATCTCAGAGGAGAAAAGACTTAACGTTTTCCAGACCAGAAAATGTTTACACAAGATATCAAATCACAGAGGTGTGTTATATACCTGGCAAGACTTGTCACATAAACCATTTGTGGGATGTGACCTAAAGATTCACATGAGGTGAGATCATCTGCATTTGTCGTGACTACAAGATCTCCTTGCTTTTCTTTACATCAAATCAACCCATGAATTCCCCTCCCCAGAAGTTAACACACGTCTGATATTCTCTTCTCCCTTCCATATATGCCACAGGAAGGGGTCTATCTATCTTGGCAGACCCTCCATGAACCGCATATCCCTTGCTGTAACTGTTGGATCAGCGAGTCCAAGTAGAGATCACAGCCCTCCAGAGAAAGGTGCACATTGTCACCTCTGTGTTGAGTGATTTCAGCTTTCATAAGAACTGTGAGTTCAGAAGCCCTGCATGTCTAGCTGACCCAGAAGGCCAAATCAGACACAGACAGATAGAAGGCAAAGCCAGAGTTTTTTTTCTCAGTGTCCAAGGAGGATGCCAGTGGAGAAAGCACTCCACAGTACTGACATATCACAACTGTAAATACAGAGCATTTTTATTTCATTTGACAGCTATTCAAGAAACCCATGCCAGCTCCTGTTCAGCTGAACAAATGTCTGGCAAAGATATGCATCCTCAGTGGCCCAGGCCTCCTTTGGATGCGATCACTAGTTGGCTCTTCATAGTAGCAGGAAATTCAATAAATTGTCATTGGAGCATTTGAAGTGTCAATCTATTTAATGTTCCACCTCCAAGAGGAGCAGAATTCGAAAGTAGTGTGGTGTAATACTAGGTGATGAGCTTTATAGTCTGGCTCTGATGAGTACAATAGTTAGTCCAATGTACAAAATGGATACTTGGGGATGACGACTATTACAACAGGTAAAGCTGGCTTGGGGCATGGGCGCGAGATCTTCCTCAAAGATAGCCCCGATCTTATCAATGGGAGCAGGAAACACACCTGGGGAACCCTGATGGACTTTCATTGAGCAATTTCCCCAAGCCTGAGTAGATGATAGGGGTGCCCATTTTTGTCCACAGAAGGTGTACACCTCTTTTCTGTGTCCAAGACAAATTGATGAAACAGCTATACTCCAAACTCTACTATAGCAATCTGTTTTGGCTGAATACCTAATCTTCACTTCAGTTAGCCCCGTAGCCAGGATTTTGTTTTGGGGGAGCTGAGTTTGATTCGGGGGGGGGGGGCTGAGTCTGAGTGAAAGAGGGTCTAGCCTAGCAAACCTTTTGTATCATTACCCCAATACCCCCATGCATATGGGATATATTGAGTATGGTGATCAGATCATGATATGAATAAACATAACAGTTTAAATATGCACCAGTAAGGCCTTTTCACGAACCACCATGATAATTTCGGGAGCCCCCCCCCCCCCGGACTACATTCCCGACTTCAGTAATTGCTGTACTACACTGCTGGCTTTGCATTAAAACTGTTCCAAGGCTTTCTTCTGACGTGTCGCACTGCAGTGTCAGTTGTTTAGCTGCATTGTAGTAATTCAGTGTTGGAGCTATTCTTTCCTTTTCCCTTTGGTTAAAAATCTATTATCTCTTTATGGTTAAATCTTTCATGAGGAATCAATAAGTACCCCCACCTCAAAGCATGTATTAATTGTTTCAGTGTTTTTAGATTAGCACACACAACACTTCATATCACTTTGATTTCACTTTAACTGCAAGTGCACTACTTGGGAGAGGAGTCCAAATACTCTGTAAACTACTACTCTTAGGATTCCGTAACACTGAGCCATGGCAGTTGAAGTGTTGTCATACTGAATCAATTCTACAAGTGTAGATCAGGCATGGGCAAACTTTGGCCCTCTAGGAGTTTTGAACTTCAACTCCCAGAAATCCCAGCCATCTTACCAGCTGTTAGGATTTGTGGGAGATGAAGTCCAAAACACCTGAAGGGCTGGTTTGCCCATAGCTAGTATAGCTGCATTCTTATAGGCTTATAGATTTCCCACCGCCATTATGTTTCATGTCACATGGTTGGTCTAATTAATGAATAATTATAATAAAATAAAAAACAGTGTACTTTATTTGATATACTTTCCAACAAAATAGCTATTGTCTTTTCTTTGCCTAATTGCATAGAAACTCTGCAGCAAGTCCTCCACTCTTCTGATTCTCCTTCAAAGTCTCTGCTACTGCTGATGTTAAGTCCGATGGCTGTAAGTATTGCAGGAAAATAATTGACTACACAATAGTAGAATATGGTGAGGTTACTTAAAATATGTAATTTGCATAAACAAGTATGAAAAAGTAATGCTGTGAACATATCAAATGCCCTATTGCTAACACAGCTATCTTTCTATATTTTTGACTATATATTAACCCCTTACATACTCTAGGAAAACTAAGCACATGGATACTAAAATGTAACATGAAGAAAAGCTATCAAAATATTATGTTGCTTTTATGCAAATATGGCATTGTTACTTCTAAAAACTTGTTTAGGATAGGATGACTATAATGTTCTTGCACTGTTGTTAGCTTCAATCGAGGAGAAACTTGGATGCTCCAGTCATATACAGTATTTCTTCCTTTAGCAACATCTGAAGATAGTCTGTTCAGTCAACGTTCTCACATGGCTGCAGGTCTGCTATGTCTGTTTTGAAGAAGGTTGCAAACATCCCACGTTCTGTTTAAAACAAATTACACATTCAGGTAAAACAGCTAATTCTCAAAGTTTGTGAATGGTTCAGTTCATAGCCAATCATAGAACGAGACACAGAGAACATTCTGTCAGTAAGAGCTTATATGGTAGAGAGAGAGAGAGCTCACACACAGAGAGTATCAACCCATTGAAAATACTTGATATTTCTATATATGGGTGTAATGGCATTTTATAGTCTTCCAAATAAGATTGCATATGAACAAATGACTTTTTTGAATTGTATACTGTATATATCCATGTATAAATTGAGGGCAGGCTTTGGAGTCAAAGTTATGGATTTTGATCTAACCAATGCCATTTTGCAGAGATGGGAATGCATCCATGCCATCTTAGGGGGCCAGCTGCCATCATCTCTCTCTCTCTCCATGGATTAAAACAAATCCAGAAGCAGCACCATGGCAGGGAGAGAAGGGTAAGGGCATGTGTGCGTGTCAGTGTTCCTCTTAGTTTCTGATGGGATGCACTCAGAGGCAGCCCTAGGTAATTTTCAATGGTAAGCAAACAGTTTTTTGCCCCCCCCCCCCCAACCAATCACTGATATATATTTTCTGTTCGTCATGGGAGTTCTGTGTGCCATATTTGGTTCAATTCCATCATTGGTGGAGTTCAGAATGCTCTTTGATTGTAGGTGAACTATACATCCCAGTAACTACAACTCGCATATGTCAAGGTCTATTTCCCCCCAAGAGTGCCTCAAGAGCGCCCCTGGGCAAAATCAACTATACTGCAAATGCTTACTTTGCATAATGCAGGGGTCCTCAAACTAAGGCCCGGGGGCCGGATGTGGCCCTCCAAGGTCATTTACCGGCCCTCGCTCAGGGTCTACCTAAGTCTTGAAAGCACACAACAACAACAACAACAACAATCCTATCTCATCAGCCAAAAGCAGGCCCAAACTTTACATTGAAATACTAATAAGTTTATCTATATATATATAAATGCTCTGTGCATAATGAGTACCTTAAAAACAAAAGAACCAATGAACGAAATCATACCAAATTTGGCAACAAAACGTCTCACAACACAAGGAGTGACTATCACTCAAAAATTATGATTTTGTCATTTGGGAGTTGTAGTTGCTGAGATTTATAGTTCACCTATCAAAGAGCATTCTGAACTCCACCAATGATGGAACTGAACTACATGTGGCACACAGGACAGAAAACAGAAAACACTAGAAGGGTTTGGTGGGCATTGACCTTGAACTTTGGAATTGTAATTCACCTCAGTCCAGAGAACCCAAACAATGATGGATCTGGACCAAACTTGACAGGAATACTCAATATGCCCAAATGTGAACAAAGATGGAGTTTGGGGAAAACAGACCTTGACATTTGGGAGTTGTAGTTACTGGGATTTATCATTCACCTACAACCTGGGAAGCATTCTGAACCCCACCAACAATAGAATTGGGCCAAACATCCCGTACAGAACCCTCATGACTAACAGAAAATACTGTGTTTTCTGGTGGTTTTTGGTGACCTTTCTGACACCCCCCCCCCCCCCCGGTCTTTACTTCCCAGGTTGGGAAATGTTGCCTTAAGGCCATCCAGTCCAACTCCCTTCACCAGGGCAAGAAAACATAATCAAAACCCTCCTGACAAAGGGCCATCCAGCCATTCACACACACACACACACATATATGTATATGACAGATGCAGTATCAAAGATTTGAAAGGGACCCCTAAAGAAGGACAATGATATGTTGCATGTTCCAGAGTAGGCAAACCAGACATCAACACTGGCAAAGAAACAGCAAGAAATACTGTTTACCCACAAGCATAAAGACATTACATATATTAGAAACCAACACTTTCTCATTACTTTATTTTCCAGATCACCAGACTGGGCCACAGCAACGTGTGGCAGGGGACAGCTAGTATTTTTCTAAAATTGTTCTTCATTTTAATTATAGTATTGTTTTTAAGTGTTTTTTGCACTACAAATAAGATATGTGCAGTGTGCATAGGAATTCATTCATGTTTTTTTTCAAATTATAATCCGGCCCTCCAACAGTTTGAGGGACTGTGACCTGGCCCTCTGTTTAAAAAGTTTGAGGACCCCTGGCGTAATGGGTTGAGCCGCCCCTGGATGCACTAAGCCCTTGCCTTTTGCTCCTCTACTTAAAGAAGGGAAAGGTTCCCATTTTTGATAAGAGTTAAGAGTACAGTATTCACATTGACTCACATGAGGATATAGGGCAATTTTGCCATTTGATTTTTTTTTGTCAAGTGCAGTGTTTCTCAACCTTCCTAATGCCGCGGCCCCTTAATACAGTTCCTTATGTTGTAGTGACCCACAACCATAACATTATTTTTGTTGCTACTTCATAACTGTAATTTTGCTACTGTTATGAATCGTAATGTAAATATATGATATGCAGGATGTATTTTCATTCTCTGGACCACATTTGGGGACCACAAATACCCAATATGCGCAAACCTGAATACTGGTGGGGTTGGTGGGGATTGATTTTGTCACTTGGGAGTTGTAATTGCTAGGATTTATAGTTAACCTACAATCAAAGAAAATTCTGAACTCCACCAATGATAAAATTGAACCAAACTTGGCACACAGAACTCCCACGATCAACAGAAAATACTGGAAGGGTTTGGTGAGTTTTGGAGTTGTAGTTCACCTACATCTAGAGAGCACTGTGGACTCACACAATGATGGATCTGGATAAAATTTGGCACGAATACTCAACATGCCCAAATGTGAACACCAGTGGACTTTGGGGAAGATCGACTTGACATTTGGAAGTTGTAGTTGCTGGGATTTATAGTTCACCTACAATCAAAGAGCATTTTGAACCCCACCAACAATAGAATTGGGTCAAACTTTCCACACAGAACCCCCATGATGAACAGAAAATACTGTGTTTTCTGATGGTATTTGGCAACCCCTCTGAAACCCCCTCATGACCCCCCCACCCCGGGGTCCCAAAACCCAGGCTGAAAAATGCTGGTCTAGTGTATATTAACCTTTCTCTATATGCATATTCTGAACGATATTGCTTCCACAATATGAGCCCTAAAGATTTAAAAGGAGTGATCGGGATATATGAAATTGATACAGAAAATTCAGGAAAAAATACACAACTTTGACATGGAACCTCCATATTCTCATGCTAGTTTCAGCACAAATTACACTCCATGTTGATTCCAAGCTGATCAGAAAACATGCATCTAGAAGCCTTTGCCACGTATCATAATGTTATCATTAAAATTCTTAGATAAATGAGCTGAATGTTAATGGAAATGAATCCATCTCATGTTTCACTTATCAGAGACAACTATCTTGGTCGTACCTTTGAAACAGGCAGGAACTGTAAAATTGCCATCTACGCACTGAGCAGGGGATGTAAAACTACAGCCCTGCTCTTTATTTTTACAGAAAAACTCAATGATCTCAGCATGTTGTATTCCGCTCGTGAGATGGTCTTGCACCTTGACTTTCTGATTGTTGTAAAGCACAGTTGCTCTTTTGACAGGAATTGTACATGGAGCTAAGGAGAAGGGAATGTAAGCAATGTAGTTAGACAATAAACCTTCTGTTGGTAAGAAAAAATGACTCAAGAACACAGAACTGTTAAGGAAAATAGTCACATTCTTACTCAATCTGGTTATTTTATTAATAAGGCAAGCAAAATTGTCCTGATGGAGTCTGGTACATTAGAGAAATCATCTACATGACTCTTTTAACTAAAATTATTTCTAGTGTGTCGTCTGACTTCTCAATGGTGTTCTGCCCCTATCTTGTCTCCTATGTTCTCAAGCAGGAAACCATATGTCAAAAATTACAGCTATAGGCTTATTCCTGTCATTATTATTTATAGGAATAGATAATTATAACATAATAATTATAATATTATGACAGTATCTTATAATATTTTACATGAATAACATCTTTATCTTAAATGGTCCCAGTGGGGAAAAGGTTACTAAACTCACTTAGAGCAAGCAGAGCATTGTCCAGAATTAACATAATCGCCCTTGAGCTACAGACTAAAATTCTAACTATCTGAATGCATGAAGAGTTAATCCTTTGCATGCAACACACCCACACATACACTCAGATTCGGCATTGTATTTTTTTGGAAATCCTATGCACCAGAACTTCTGATTCAACAGAGGACTGTTAAGGAGAGAAGGATAATAACTTGTGGGACATTATGTGAGTAGCAGGATTACCTCTGGAACTACTCATTGAATTATTCTGTCAGCAGGTGGATCAATACGGATCATGGCCAATGTGTATGTATGTGCATGTGTGTTGTATCAGGCATCTTCATATCTTTATTGTTTAGGTAATTATATATTGTAGTGTAGAAGGACTATCTCTATTCACTGGTTAGATTGCTTAAGCCAGTGGTTCTCAACCTGTGGGTCCCCAGGTGTTTTGGCCTACATCTCCCAGAAATCCCAGCCAGTTAACCAGCTGTTAGGATTTCTGGGAGTCGAAGGCCAAAATATCTGGGGACCCACAGGTTGAGATCCACTGTCTTAAGCCAACACAGAGATGTATATAGACCCTGCTCCCCACCCCAAACCCCAATTATATGTACTTGTACTCAAAATTCTGGATTTCACACTTTCACATAAGGTATATTGTAAAAGTGCTAAAAATCATGATAATATTTTCCAATGAAGTCTTACAGAATACCAGACACCATACCTTTGCAAGTTGGTTTTGTTGACCACTGGCCTGTCTTCTCACATCTGGATTCTACAGGTCCATCCAGCACATATGTTGGATTACAACCATAGGTCACAGTTTCTCTGTAATGATATGGTCTACGAAGAAGCAAATTTATATATCCATTTTCAATGTCTTCTGGCCGTGGACACTCCACAGCTGTGGTAGAGAGAAAGTATATTTGGAAAAAGATTACGGATGTAGTCTCACCACCCAATTTCAGCAATTTCATATGAAGTTACTTTTATGGTTCCATTATATCATATTCTCAGATTTTTAGTTTTGTCGGGTTCTTAGTATTCTCTGTTACTATTGCTGCTGTCATCACTTTTTTCTTTCTTGTAAGACCCAAAGCGTTTCACAACATTCAAAACAATGCAAAATAGAACATGATTAAAATATAATTATATGTACAATTATTAAAACAAGTCAGTTAAAATCATACCAAACAGGGCCTCAAACAGGAATCCCCCAGCAGCACCTTCTTCTGGGTGCGTCCCTCCAGGAAGAAACAGAGCCATTGTACAGAAATCCCCCCAACTCCCATCCCAATGAGGTGATGGTATAAAAAGCCACCAAGAGGTCCAGGAGACTTAACAAGGACATCCTCCCAATGTCCATTCTCTGAGTAGGTCATCCACCAAGGCTGTTGCACTCTAGCCTTGTGACATCTTTTCATCCTGCACTTTTGTAGTACAAACTACAAAAGTTTATTAAGAAAAGCATGTACAAAGGCAAGAAGGGCCCAAAAGTACAGTAGAGTAGAAAATACAAAATAGCAGCAATCCAATAATGGCAAAGTACATGAAGTCAAGAGAGCCAAAATCCACAGCAGTCATTCAAACATAAATCTGTAAGCATGAAAACAGAAACTTTTTCCAAGGCAAACCCTCCAAGGAACAAAGGCAAAGACAGGAAACTTGAAGCATGAACTTGACAGCCAAGACAGGAATATCATCCTTATGGCAACATTGTCTCCTTTGAGAGGCATGAAGTAAACACCACTTAATTTAAGCCCGACCAAGAAGCCATGAGATCATGCCAAATGCACCTGGACTTCAAGGACTTCTCACGGATTCTCTCATTACATCTAATTAGTCTATTTTTCACTCTCTCCATTCTCAAACCTAATCTGGCTTCTTGGGAAAATTCCCCAACAGCCAAAGGCCATTTCACAAGGGAACTGAAATCTTCACTTCCTGTTGCCTGGGAGCAAGCACAGGAATCCCAAACAATGGCCGTCTCAGCCTGCAATTCTCTGATCACTAGCAGACTCTTAACTTTGAAATCCATCAAGTCTATCATCCTCTGAAAAATCTTCTGCTACTTGCTGAGCCACAACAAAGGCAACCAAACCAGTCTCTGTTCCATAACCAGTCCTGAAACCAGATTGAAATGGATCTAACCCAGTGTTTTTCAAATTCTGTTCCTTCAGGTGTTTTGGACTCCAGTTCCCAGAAATCCCAGACAGCTTACCATCTGTTAGGAATTTTGGGATCTTTTAAAAGGAAAGTTTTAAACTAATGTAGATGTACTTTTATTATTACTTTTATCATTATCTCACTTTATTAATTATTAATGTTAAGACTATATATATATATATATATATATATATATATATATATATCCAAGTGATGTTCGAGAAAAAAAATGTTTGAATTGTCAAATGCAAAATGACTATATGATACTGTATCTTTGTTGACTTTATTTGTTTTAAAGTCAACATTGTGGGAACTGAAGTTCAAAACTTCTGAAGGAGCAGAGTTTGGGAAACTCTGATCTAAAGAATCATTTTATCCAGAAACCTCTGGAATTGGGAGGCTGTAAAATGACACTACTCTTCCCACATCCCAAAAATATAGTATTGAAGCTCTGTGGAAGAAAATTCTAAGAACCGCACAGAATCTCCAATTCATGGATTTCACACAGTGGATCCAGTTAAAGTCATATTTAAGTATTTCTGTTCAGATAGTGTATTGAGGTTCAGATCCATCCCAGAATAAAAGTTGTTTGTTCTCATTCTAGAGCTGATGTAGCAACTGACTCTGGGGAAATAATTACAGTAGAAGTAGTACCAAGAAAGGATTCAGAGACATGTCTATTTGTCCTTAAAATAGCAATATTGGATTCATAATAACATTCATTAAGGTTATTACCTCTGCATTCTGGAAGTGCACTCCAGTTGCCATCGGCCTGACAGACAGCTGTTTCATTTCCAAGTAGTGCATAAGGCAATAAACATTCAAATTTGATTTCATCTTGGAAGGCTGATATGTTTCCTGGCTTAAGTCTTTGGAAAGAAAGGACTGAAAACTCAGAAACTGGTGGCGGAGGACAAATCACAGCTGGAAAATCAAAACAAACTTATTTGTACCATATAAATAGAAAACTTCCCTCCCCACAAGGCAAAGGCAGAGATTTTTAGGCTTTGCGGAGAGATCAAGTATTCTTGGCTTCCCTTGAGTGCCACTTTCCATTCTATCATTAACAGCTGACTTTCCAGGTTATCTATCACTCTTCTCTATGGCTAAATGGTTAAAGATAATACATCTGATCCTGGAAGCTAAGCAGGGAGAGTGTCAATGAAGGCTGTGAACGCCTTATGAAATTCATGGGATTTCCATAAGTCAACAAGAGACTTGAAGGAACACACATGCATACATTTTTAGTGTCATCCTCATCCTATTCTCTGGTTTATCTGCAACTAGAATTCATCTCATTGAACTGAATTAATGGATACTTAATATGGGCTTTCTTCTAAAAGAGACTCCTGGCTCCATCATATGGATTGTATTATATTACCATTATATGATAATTAATATGATATAATGTACATATATTTTATGTATATGACACAATGCAGGTGTCTGTAAAAAATAGGAAAATGTGTCATTCTCCATTTCACAAAGAGTTCTATCATTGGAAAGGACAAAATGCTTTAAATCTACAATTGATCTTGAAGGGTTTCTCCAAATTGCATTTCAGTTCCTGAATGAGTTACGTTGCCATCTTCAATGTTGCTTTTTAGACAGGTTTGAAATGCAGAAAAAAGCTTTGCACAGGTCAAATAAAGATTAGTGGCAAATCGAATTCCCTAAGTGTAGTCATTCTCCTTCAGGTGAGATTACACTTCAATTTTCATAAAGAGAAAAGTTGAAAACTTCCCTCCCTACCATCTCAATATTTTCCATCTGCAAGTCTGTTTCAGTATCTCTGTGCAAGAAAAAAAATCTGAGTCACCCTCTAAGCAGAGTTAAAATGCTTGAAGTACATTTGGCTATCTTTCAAGCAACATCACCGCCCCTTCATGATCCATGGTCACCCAACTGGCTTGTTTCTATGTATGTCAACTCAAAGAAAAGCCCATAGATTTAAATGGGAATTGCTTCTCAAGTAAATATGCAAAACAGTGTAGTAGGTGTCTATGTGTATATTTTAAATGAACAAATGGAAAACAAATGCACTGAGCTTTTATTCCTTACTAGCCATCCCCTGCCACTCATTGTTGTGGCCCAGTCTGTGTATATAAGTTTTGTATGTGTGTGTGTATTTGTGTGTATGTGTATATATGTGTGTTTACATATATGTGTGTGGTTTTGCACATGTGCAGTAACATCTTCTTGCTTTTTTGGCGTTTTCAGTCTCTTCTGCTGTGTTTTTCAGTGTTTTTTATGAGTGATGGTCACTTGTTGGCCTGATCGGTGTATTGCATCCAAATTTGGTGTCAATTCACCTAGTGGTTTCTGAGTTATGTTAATCCCACAAATGAACGTTACACTTTTATTTATATAGATACACTAGCCATCCCCTGCCATGCATTGCTGTGGTCGTCTGTGTATATGTGCTTTGTATATATAAGTGTATATATTAGGCCTGGGTAACAACGGAAAAATTTGTTTCTAAAATCGATTTGTATTTGGGGGGTTTTTTTGTTTCGATATTTAAAATAATTACAAAATTTTCCTTTTAAAAAGTTCGATATTTACGAAATTTCGTAAATGGTAAAAAATTAACGAATCGATTTCCGAAACAATAACGAATCGATTCGTTAATGGCGGACGCGGCCGCGAAATACGCTAAAAAACCTCCAAAAACTTCTGAAGCTTCCCTCTCCCTCTGTTGTTGACTGTTGGTGTGATATTATAATTTTTTTTCACTAATTAAACAAAAAACTTGCCCCAGACATGCGGAAATAATAACGAAACGACCTCAGAACAATAACGAAACGAATACAATAACGAAATACGAAGCATTTACAAAACGTGTTTAAAAATTCGTTTTTTAAAAATTGCTCCAGAATGGTTCGTTATCGTTTTGTAATTGAAAAAATTAACGAATTATTAACGAATTACGAATTAACGAAATGAAACCGCCCAGCCCTAGTATATATGTGTGTTTGCGTATATATGTGGTTTTGTGCATGTGTTGTAATGTATTTTTATTTTTTGGCTTTTAAAGTCCCTTATGTTATGTTTTTCAGTGTTTTTATGAGTGATGTTCACTTGTTGGCCTGATAGGTGTCTTGTGTCCAAATTTGGTGTCAATTCGTCCAGTGGTTTTTGAGTTATGTTAATCCCACAAATGAACATTACATTTTTATTTATATAGATTATGTATTATCTACTAGCCATCCCCTGCCACGCGTTGCTGTGGCCCAGTCTGTGTATATGGATTTTGTGTGTGTATATATACGTATATGTGTGTGTATATATGTGTGTTTGTGTATATATGTGTGGTTTTGCATATACATTGTAATGTATTTTTTTTTGTTTTTTGGCTTTTTAAGTCTCTTCTGCTGCATTTTTCAGTGTTTTTATGAGTGATGGTCGCTCATTGGCCTGATAGGCTATTGTGTCCAAATTTGGTGTCAATTCGTTGAGTGGTTTTTGAGTTATGTTAATCCCACAAACGTTACATTTTTATTTATATAGATGGGCAGATGTTTCTGTTTAGGGAATTGATGTGCTATTTCAGAAACAACCATTTTGTATTATCCCTTTTGTTATTCTGCCCCACACATGGCTTATCTTGTATTGCTAAGTTATACTATTTGCAACATGTGTGTACCAAAGGTACAGCTTCGAGGCAATGAAGTATTACCTTGCCCGTTTGGAGGTATCTCATGTGTATCCTTTGAAGGAGAGATAAATCACCTCCTTTCAAAGTCATTTATTTTTAGAGTGTCTTAAACTACTTCATGTGTACCAAGTTGCAGGTATTGTGTTAATACAGAAGGACCTGAAGAATGAACACAAAGGGGAGTGGCACATAACTGATGTATACAATCTTCATTTTGGCATAGTGTCTTGGCAACATGAAGTCATGTTAGTATATTATGACCTTGATAAAATTCCCCAATCCTCCCCTTACGATTTGGTTACTCCCAAGCATTTTCACATACATATAAATAATATTTCATACATACGTTGACATTCAGGAAGCTTTGCACTCCATTGCCCATCTGCCAGGCATTGGCTGTTTTTCTGTCCTTGTAAAATATACCTGAGAATGAAAGCAGGTTTCAATACATTCTAACACTATAAGGATTTGTTCATATAGTGTAAATATTTATATTACGTTCCTCCAATAGAAAACATTTGACAGAACTACCTGTTTCCCTTGTATCAGCTTTTATTTAGGCATGGATTGGTTGCCAAAAATGTTCCAAACAAATCAGTGTATCTAAAGGGGCATCTACACTGTAGAATTTACACTTTGAAACCACTTTAATTGCCATGGATCAATACTATGGATCAATACTATGGAGCCCCCGGTGGCGCAGTGGGTTAAACCACTGTACTGGCAGGACTGTAGACCGACAGGTTGCAGGTTCGAATCCGGGGAGAGGCGGATGAGCTCCCTCTATCAGCTCCAGCTCCTCATGCGGGGACATGAGAGAAGCCTCCCACAAGGATGATAAAAAAAAACCATCAAAATCATCCAGGCATCCCCTGGACAATGTCCTTGCAGATGGCCAATTCTCTCACACCAGAAGCGACTTCTGACAAGACCAAAAAAAAACCACTATGGGGTCATGAAGTTGTAGTTTATTGGCATAGCAACACTATTAGGCAGAGAAGACTTGTAAAACTACAACTTTCATGACTCCATAGCATTGAGCCGTGGCAACTAAAGGAGCATCAAACTGGATTAAGACTACAGTGGACATGCACCCTGGGATTTGCTTTTTAAAATGGGGTTAGAAATACTCTTCAGAAATACTGATTATCAAAAATAATTATTTATTTATTTAGAGGCATTTATATCCCATCCTATCTCAACCTCCGCAAACGGACTCAGGGCAGCTAATAACCGGCACAGCATAGCAAACTCACTATACTAATTTCACAGACCACAATCATGGACTACTATAAGCCTCCCTAAAGGTAGTTAAGTGGTTAGGAATATAAGAGGAAGAGGAATTATCTCTGTGTTGTGATTCCATCACTGTGCAACGATCTCATTTTAACTATCATGTGAAGAGGCTGCAACCAAATACACACTGAACACCCAAAACAGCAAATGTGTCTTTTGGAGAAGAACGTGGGAGAGTCATGACTTTATCACATGAGCTGCTGGAATCACCACGCATCGGAGGGAATGTGGCGTGGGGAGGATGTCCCACAAAAACAAAGATTTTGCAGTTTAATAAACTTCCCCCATGTTTTTATGATAGAAGCAATTAGGAAATTGCATTCATAACCCAGGAACAAAAATTATGTTACCATAGTGTTATTAAAAATATGTGATTTAAAGATTTAAGAGTGCTCAAAATGGAGCAATGATGCTAAATCTGCCATCTGGACTATATTGTTGATCATGGGTGGGGAACCCAGGCAGTGATGACAGGGATGTTCAAACAGATACAGGTTAGATGTCAAATGGAAAAGAACTCAATGTCCCACTTTCTAAAGCGACAGAAGCAAAGAACCTGTTTTAAACACACAACTCACCCTGAATCACATGAATAATCTACAAAATTCTGATAGCTGAGGTCTGTGAAATGTATATTTCCATTCTTCAAGGGTCCAGGGTAGGGACATTTCCTTGCTGTTTGAATAGACGAAACATTTTCATTACATTTGGGTAGACAGAGAGGCAAGCAGATTATAGACAGATGTGAAACAATACCAGGGCTTTTTATTCACAGTAAGAATCTAACACAAGCAAAATACTGTAAAACATTTCAAAATACAAACACAAGCTTAAAATGATGAATAAAGTATCCCCATAAAAGCTCCCTTATTGAAGTGCACACACTTACAGTCACATCTTCATTCAAAAACAAAAAACCAGAAATGGAGGAGGTTATATCTATCCATATTGTTCATAACAAGTTTCATTTCCACAAGGATTGTGTTTTTTGTCAAACAACTGGCTCATGAAAGTCCAAGACACTCCAATATGTTTGCAGTTCAGCAGGAGTAACTGACAAGTATATACTGTTGCAGAGAAAAATCTTTAATCTCTCCACTACTGTGTGGATTACAGATAAACTGGAGCCCCCGGTGGCGCAAAGGGTGAAACCCCTTGTGCTGGCAGGACTGAAGACAGGTCGGCAGTTCAAATCCAGAGAGAGCGCGGGTGAGCTCCCTCTGTCAGTTCCAGCTCCCCATGCAGGGACATGAGAGAAGTCTCCCACAGGATGGTAACACATCCGGGCATCCCCTGTGCAACATCCTTGCAGACATCCAATTCTCTCACACCAGAAGAAAATTGCAGTCAAGTAGCTCCTGACACAAAAAAAACACCCCCAAAAAACCAAATAAACCTAGAAGAAACTGCATATCCAATGGAGATGCAGATTGCATGATTCCATCCAATGAAATCCTGCGATTTGTGCATGAAATTTGGACTTCTTTACCAGGTTGCTCCTCTTGTCCTTCAGGCCAAATCCCAAGTCCCAGAATTCCACAGGATGGACCATGTTCCGTCTTCCAGGAGCTTGGTTGCATTGCCCCTTAGTTGCTTGAAATAGCATCCCTTTGCATTTCCCCCAGGGTTGCTGCAGTCTTAGCAGCACCCTAATAGTCAAACATTAACAGAGGCTGGAAGCCACCCTGCAAGCCTTTTGCAGTTTAAAAAAGTATCCTTTTGGTCTAGAGACCACCCTTTTTCCTGGGGATGAGATCTCCATTTTGGAAAGGGTCTCCTGCCTTCTTTAGTATAAAAAAAGCCTCAGATGTGCTGGTGGCCAAGCTAGGCAGCTCAGACAAGCCATTGTGAGTACAGTTAAGGTTACAGTTAAGGTTTAGGTTACCCTCTCACCTTTGAAACTGGTGCTGAGCTCAGATAGAGAAAGACCTGCTCTTTCTAAAGGACAGTAGCTCAGCGCCGGGGCAGGGAATATCTCAGGATTTCTCTGCTATTGAGAGAGGCTCCATTACTTCATCTCCAAAACTAATCTTGAGCTTAGATAGGGGAAGACCTGCTCTTTCTGAAAGATAACAGCTCAGGGTTAGGGTAAAAGATCCCAGGATTTTTCTACCGTTGGGGAAAAGTTAACTCGGTAACTGAAGGAAAAAGGAAAGACAGAACATCTATATGGTTTCTCAAATTGACTGTTTGTGTTTGTAACTTCATCAAGCTGTGCCAAGTCTGTCAAGGTCTTTGAAAAATTAATGTTCTGTTGATGTTCAAATCTGGACTAGCCTTAGTTGCTGAGAATCTTGAGCTTCTAAGAAAGGCACCCATAGTTCACCCCATATAAAGAGAGAAGCACATCTTAGTTTTAACTTTATTAGTGTCTGGGTGTGACGGCACAGACCATTAGAATATAATGTGGAATCGTAGGGCTATAGTTGTGTACTGTTAAAAGTCATTATAGCATTCAAAACTGTTTTAGTTGTTCTGGTTTAGGGTTATACAAGATCAGTTATGTGACAGAGATTCTTCATTATTTATATTTATATATAATGCTTGAAAACTTCCTTGGTTCCTCTTGTGAATTTGTTTATTATTTTGATTTGTTCATTGACTGGTTGATTTGTTGTTGATGCCATGGGCATCAAGTCTAGAGATATTGGATATCAATATGTAAAATAAACAAATAAACAAGTAAAGAACGCGAGGACTTTCTTCAGATGGCTCCCAATAAAGAATTGGCTACTATGATGAATTATTCCAGCAGACATGATCATAATGTACTTACGTATGCATCTCAGGGACATAGATGGCCATCTGCCAGTTAAAGGGCAGATATATTTCCTTGAGCCTGATTGATAAACATATCCAGGCTGACAGTTGTATGTAATTTCTTCTCCAAGATTGTATTCTGCCTTGGCTGCAGTGATGGAAGCAAATGGTATTGCAGGTGGCCTGGGGCAGACTAAAAAGAGACAATGCATCTTACTGAGTCATGCATTTATTGACTTCCTACCCAATCTCACTAGAGCAGGGCTTCCCAGTCTTTGGGAGAGCGCAGACGATTGAGGAAAGAATTGGATACATCAAGCATTGGCCCTCTAGGTGTTTTGGACTCCCACAATTCCTAACAGCCAGTTGAAGTCCAAAACATCTGGAGGGCTGAAGTCTGCCCATGCCTGGGATACATCATGGACCATTGAGATCAATCATAGAATCATAGAATCAAAGAGTTGGAAGAGACCTCATGGGCCATCCAGTCCAACCCCCTGCCAAGAAGCAGGAATATTGCATTCAAAGCACCCCTGACAGATGGCCATCCAGCCTCGGTTTAAAAGCTTCCAAAGAAGGAGCCTCCACCACACTCCGGGGCAGAGAGTTCCACTGCTGAACGGCTCTCACAGTCAGGAAGTTCTTCCTCATGTTCAGATGGAATCTCCTCTCCTGTAGCCTGAAGCCATTGTTCCGCGTCCTAGTCTCCAAGGAAGCAGAAAACAAGCTTGCTCCCTCCTCCCTGTGGCTTCCTCTCACATATTTATACATGGCTATCATATCTCCTCTCAGCCTTCTCTTCTTCAGGCTAAACATGCCCAGCTCCTTAAGCCGCTCTCATAGGGCTTGTTCTCCAGACCTTTTATCATTTTAGTCGCTCTCCTCTGGACACATTCCAGCTTGTCAATATCTGTCTTGAATTGTGGTGCCCAGAATTGGACACAATCAACTCTTCTCTCTACTGAGAAAGGCTCCAGTGCCTCCCTTCCCAACCCCATCCTTTGTCCAGCATTGTTTTAATATGTATCTTTTATAAAATACATTTTAATATGGGTATTTGTGGTATTTTAACAATATTTATGTGCTTTGATTATTTTATAGCCTGGCTTGAGCCATGAGGAGAGGTGGGTAAGAAATAAAAAAATAGAATATAACTATAATAAAACAATAAAATAATAGTAGAACAATGTAGCCAGAGGAGTTTTAGTTCCCAAAAGCATGTCTAAATTGTACTCATTTGTGCTTTTGTATATAAGAGAACTCCTGCTTCCTAATCTATTGTCTTTCGGCAAAAAATGTTTATCTTATTTCCAAAAGTTTGCTCTTCGAACAAGCTTTTGGAAATATAGCGTAATAGATAAATACAGTATTATGAAAGAGTGAACATGGAATGGCTTAAATGATGCTAATGAAAAATGAGTTTAACTGGAAGGCATTGGTGATTATAGTTTTAATGGTTTTTATATGGATTTTTATTATGTTAAATGTTTCTAATGGTATTTATGATTGTTGTGGCATTCAAATTGCTGCCAAATTATAAGCGCCTTGAGTCACCTTTGGACTGAGAAAGGCGGGATAGAAATACTGTAAATAAATAAATAAATCTTCCTTTCAACGTATATCTCTAAAAACAGAAGAAGTTACATTTATTTTTGATAGGCTTAATAAACCCTATTAACTCATTGATATTAAACCATTTGTAATATTGTTCTAGTACAGTCAGGCCTGTAGCCGGGGGGGGGGGGGGGGGGGGGGGGGGGGGGGGGGGGGGTGTTAGGGGTTCAACCCCCTCCCCCAAAATTTTTCAGGTTAAAAAAAAACCTGGTTTACTCATGAATTTTAACTGGTTAACCAAATCTCCATGCTAAGTCTATGAGACGCAAAAAATTAAGAGTCCTTCCAGAACTGCAAGCACTATCTCAAGCAAATGTTGACAATTTATTCACACTGTCATTACTTGCAGCAATAGCTGATGTAGCGAAGCAACCAAGTTGGGAGGGCATGTTGAATGCTCTCATAAAGGAGGACAGACTTAGTGGAAGTGGTTGACAGGGGCGGAGCTGCGGGCTATTGAAGGCTGCTCTGCCCCCTGCTGTGCTCTTTGCTTCAGCATGAGCTAGGAGGCAGGTTTCAATACCCCCCCCCCCAAATTTTCAACCCCCCCCCCCCGAATTTTTTTTATGGCTACAGCCCTGAGTACAGTGGTTCCCAACTAGTAATCTGTGGACCACAGGTGGCCCACAAGAAACAGATAAGTGGTAGGTGGGGGTCTTTCAGAGAAAACCTGAATAGATGCAGCATGGCTGTTGAGGAAGAGGCCTGCGGGCATAATCAAACACACACACATATGCCGGAAGAAATAAGTGTTTATATGGTTGTTAAATTCTGACAACTCATTTAGCTGTCAGAACTCTTCTGGCAGGTCCTGATGAAAAGGTCCTCTGGGTGCCGGTTGCCAGTCGGGTTCTGGCTGGATGAAGTAACTGCCCCCCAGAGGAGCTCAGTGTCCAAAGGGGCAGATTGTACAAGAAAAGATGATCCTGTAAGTAACTTGGGCACAAACCATGTAGGGCTATAAAGGTCAATGTCAACACCTTGTACTTTGCCTGGAAACTAGCTGGCAGCCAGTGGAGTGACTTTAGGATAGGTGTAATATGCTCACTCCTAGATGTTTCTGTAACCAATCTGGTTGCCGTATTTTGAACCAACTGGAGTTTCCCAACTTGGTACAAAGTTAGCCCAATGTAAAGTGCATTGCAAATCCAGTATCTCAGAAGGCAGGGATACTACAGCAGCATAACTTCCTTTTTTCAAAACTTAATAAAACCCATTGTATTAATCAGAAAAAAAATTATAATGTAGGCGCATACTTAAAGTTTTGTTTTACGTAGTTTTGAAGATCAAATTAGGTAGGTGACGTCCCCCATTCTCCATACACTGAGTAAACCATTTCTGGCGTTTGTCATGACTCTTGCCAGCATAGCAGGCGTTATGTTGGCAATTTCTTCCTGGATGTTGGTCTTCAATCTTGTAGGGTCCTTGGACGGTTCACATAAACACGGGATTTCAAAAAAACCCATAGAAAAAATCACAAGGGGCCAAATCTGGAGAGCGGGCCGGCCACTCCAAATCCGCTCGAAAAGTAGGCCTCAATGGCAAAAGCATGCTCCTCACTGTTCCAACGCATGATGGCGACTGAACTGTGTCAGGACAAAACTTTATACTCCCGCCTCTCGAACGAGACCACTAGCTCTCCACGTCTTCAACCGACTGAATGGTGCGCATTTTTAAAAAGGAAGTTATGCTGCTGCACCCTGTAGAAGATTTCTATTGACCAAAGGGCCCTTTTTAAAAATAGAATTAGAGGCCAGGAAATCAAGGGCTAGTCTCTTGAAAATACAAGTTCCACCCAAGAATAGTCTAATGTAGGGAAAAGTCTGAAAAGCCATAAAAATTAAAATTGCCAAATATCATACCCAGACATTTGCAAGGCAATAATGCATTTCTTTAAACATCTTTTATTTATTTAGGACCCTTGTACTACTTTAAAATATTTTCCTAAAGCAATACAGAAACTAACATTACAATGAATTTGACAAATATCCAGCATTAATATTCCATAATATAAGAACCAGGAAAGAGGCACAGCAGAACCCAAGGGAAACTGTTATGCCCTGACTCACTAGTAATGAGAAATTGGGACAAAGAAGACTGATCTTTTCTCCTAACCATCACACCCTGCTTGCATTATTAAGGAAATAAAACTATTTTTCAATAGACTAAAGATCCCATCTCATTTTGGAAGCTTGGTTGGTTAGTCCTGCTTATTTATTTATTATTTATTTACTCCATTTGTATACCGCATTTATCAGCCTGAGACGGCGACTCAATGCGGTTTACAATAAAAATAAGCAACACTGACAATATATAAGACACACATACACAAACAACACACATATAGTCATCAACGCCTCAATTAGAGTCAGATCCCGTTCTCACAGTCCTTTTTTCGTTCCTTGTTCAAATGCCGTCTTACTGAGTTAGTTGTCATTGCATAGTTATCCGAATGCCTGCTCATAGAGCCACGTCTTAACCCTCCTCCGAAACACCAGCAACGAAGGGGCCTGCCTGATGTCCACTGGTAGGGCATTCCATAGCCGAGGGGCCACCACCGAGAAGGCCCTGTCTCTCGTCCCCGCCAACCGCGCTTGTGACGCTGGCGGGACCGAGAGCAGGGCCTCCCCGGACGATCTTAACGTCCTCGCCGGTTCATAGGTGGAGATGCGTTCATAGGTGGAGATGCTTAGTAGCTGGATGGAAGATCACTAGCAAATACCAGGCACCGCAGGCTATATTTCGGAGAAAGGAAGTGGCAAAATCACCCTGGGTATTCCTTGTCTAAGAAAATACTATGAAATTCATGGAGTCACCCTAAAGCAAGAGATGATTTGAAGGCACACACACATTCCAGAACCATGTAAGGATGACCGAGACAGTATATCTGCAATGTTTTTTGAACATCTATAATGCCCTACCAAAAAAAAAAAAAGAAAGTAAAATACTATTACTCAGACTTTCCTATCCATAAGTCAGAACAAGGTAATTTGAGGCTTACGGGTGAATCAGAGCCACCCACCATTATAGCTCCCACGATTCTTCAAGACAGAAATATATTCATATCAAAGCCAGCTTGGACTCAGTTCAGCTCAGAGATGGAAACCATACAACTGTGGCTGGAGCTCAACACCCAGCATCTCTCATCATAGGCAATGCTGGGAAGGACTGCTGTGACCTCACAACCTCTGAGGATGCCTGCCATAGATGCAGGTGAAACGTCAGAAGAGAATGCTTCTGGAATATGGCCATACAGCATGAAAAACTTACAGCAACCCAATACTTTTTTCCTCAAGTAAATTGATGGAAGAGACTTACCTGGAAGAGTAAGAACAGTATGTGCCAGACTAAGAATCCCCAAAATGAAGAGGGCTGCAAACATGGCTGCTGAGTTACAAGCTGCTAAACTGAACCTAAACTTAGTACGATGGTTCCTAAAATAAAAAGAGAAAGGAAAGCTAAAGATTAACTTACATTGTTTATTTTTATTGTCGTAAATAAAAGCAGCAACCCTGGGGAGAGATTCACAACGCTTCTGAGTAAACAGATTGAACAAGCAAGCAAAACATTATTCAGTTCTTTGAAGAATCCAGATATTGGTTCAGTCTAAAGGTCTACTTTTTGTTTGGGAACCTTTTGTACACTATCTCTCTTTGTAGATAGATTGCTTCATTACACACAGTATTTATCAGAGGGGGAGAGTGAAACAAACTGGTTGGTTGGGTGCTGTAACATATACAACATAACGTATTGTTTCTTCTCCCCAAATCTTAACAGAGTATCTTATCACTTGCCTAGTATCTCTTTCTCTCAGGAGATATGTTTGAAAATAAAAGATAATAATTGCAATACTATTCCACACACTTTTTCACAGGGATTTTGTAACAATCTGACAGAGCTACTCAATATGTCTTGAATGACTTTGTGTTTCCTGGAAAGAAGCTAAGTGTATTTTGAAAAATGCTAGACGCTAAAGCAGTTCTTCAAAGATATTGGGAGTAAATAACTAGCCATTGAGGCAGTTGTAATTAATTCAATTTTTCTCAAACGAAGATGTAGATACACTGTAGTAATATGGTACTTTTTGTGTTACAGCTGTAACTTGTAGGTACTTCTGTGGAGAACATAATCCAGTTCAAATCCCAGCTTGCAGTGTGCTTCATGCGGCTGCTTTGTGTTCTGATGTGGATGTCCTGAGGATAACAATAAAATGGCATTTGTAGCATTTGCAGTGTCTATGTTTTTAATGGCTATTTTAACAATAAATGCTTTTAATAGTATTGGAGGTAAATTTCAGGCAAAAATTGGCATGATAAGAAACAAAGATGGCAGGGACCTAACAGAAGCTGAAGAGATCAAGAGAAGGTGGAGAGACTATACAGAAGATCTGTATAGGAAGGATAATAATATTGAGGATAGTTTTGACGGTGTGGTGAATGAATTAGAACCAGACATCCTGAGGAGTGAGGTTGAATGGGCCTTAAGAAGCATTGCAGCAAACTGCAGCCAGGAAATCAGGAGATGCTTACTTCTTGGGAGGAGAGCAATGACAAATCTTGATAAAATAGTGAAGAGACATCACACTGGCAATAAAGATCTGCATAGTCAAAGCAATGGTATTCTCCGTAGTAACCTATGGATGTGAGAGCTGGGCCATAGGGAAGGCTGAGCGAAGGAAGATAGATACTTTTGAACTGTGGTGCTGGAGGAAAGTTCTGAGAGTGCCTTGGGGAAAAAGGAAGGAAAAAGGAAGAGAGGCCGACCAAGGGCAAGATGGGTGGATGGTATCCTTGAAGTGACTGGGTTGACCTTGAAGAAGTTGGGGGAGGTGACGGCCGACAGGGAGCTCTGGTGTGGACTGGTCCATAAAGTCACAAAGAGTCGGAAACGACTGAACGAATGAACAACAACTTAATAGTAAGTTATTACTGGGAGCCAGTGTATTGCTTTGAACATTGGATTATAATCCTAGAGGCCAAAGTTTAAATCCTTGCTCAGACATGGAAACACACTAGGTGACCTTGGACAAGTCATACTCTCTCGGCTTGAGAGAAAGGCAAAGCCAAGTCGTCTCTGAATGAATCTTGCTGAGAAAACCCCATGCTGGCATTCCCATGGTGAACCTGAGAAACATGAAGGCACACAACAAAAGTAAGATACTACTGAGAAATATGAAAGCCTTACTTTTCAGACCCATAACTATAATAATAACAAATCATTCTCTTAAAACTATAGTAGCTTTAATTATTAAATTACTTCCCAAGCTTTGCTGTCTGGTCTTATTCCATCAGTCTTAATCTAGCACTCTAGCTTGGCTTTATGAGACACATTTATTTGGTACCATAGGAGCCACGGTGAAGCAATGGATTGAACCCTTGAGCTGGCTGAACTGCTGACCGGCGAGATGGGGTGAGCTCCCATCTGTCAGCTCCAGCTTCCCATGTGGCCACATGAGAGATGCCTCCCAGAGGATGGTAAATCATCCAGGCGTCCCCTGGTCAATGTCCCTGCAGATGGCCAATTTTCTCAAACCAGAAGCGACTTGCATTTTGTCAAGTCGCTTCCGACACAACAAAAAAATTGGTGCCATGAGATGGAGGCTATGCATTTGATTCTTAATGGTGGTACTTGCCTTTCTGGTCTATCTGTATCCCTGTCGGTAGTATAAATCAATATAACAGCCAAACCTGGGAATGTCCATAGAAGTCAGGTACTATTTCCTGGGAAGAAGCAGAAGCCAGTTTCCCATCCATTCCCTCCATTTGGCCTAAGCAGCAGCCAGCTAAAAAGCAACATCTGTTGAAAGTCTTCCTTCTATTCAACCATTAAAGGCACAGGATACCTTACTAAATTCCCCTACTGGGAATCCTATTTTCTCAGCTGTCCTCTCTCAACAGAGATGGGATTAGGCTGCAGTGGAGCCTGCAAGGAGCTGAAAGCAGCAAAAACAGCCTTGCAAATCCAAAGCCATTCTTGCCCCACCTGGAGGCATATAGAAGTCTATGGGAGGACACTGCTTGCTACAGAAGATGAAAAGGTAATAAAAAGGGAATAGTCTAACAAAAAGAAACTAAATGATGAGTATGCTCCTTTCTGTCATTCATTTATTCATTCATTTTTATTGTTATTTCCTGTTCAAGGATATCATGGGGCCATAGTGGCGCAACTGTTGAGCTGCTGAACTTGCTGACCTGGTTGGCAGTTTGAATCCATGGGACAGGGTGAGCTCCTGCTGTTAGCCCCAGCTCCTGCCAACCTAGCAGTGAGAAACATGCAAATGTGAGTAGATTAATAAGTACTGCCTTGGCGGGAAGGTAAACGGAGCTCCATGCAGTCATGCCAGCCACTTGACCAGGAAGTGTCTATAGATAACCAGGGCCATCAGCTTAGAAATATAGATGAGCACCTCCCTTTGCCTTTGTTTGTGTGTTTGTGTTTCATGTTGTGCGTTTGTGTGTTTGTTTGTGTGTTTGTGGTTTTGAGGCATTGAATGCTTGCTTGTGTCGGTATATTTACAGGATTCCACCCTGAGTCCCCTCGGGGAGATAGGGTGGAATACAAATAAAGTATTATTGCTGTTATTATTATTATTATTATTATTATTATTATTATTATTATTACCAGGTTAACATAAAATAAAATGGAGCCCCCGGTGGCGCAGTGGGTTAAACCCCTGTGCCGGCAGGACTAAAGACCGTCAGGTTGCAGGTCCGAATCCGGGGAGAGGCGGATGAGCTCCCTCTATCAGCTCCAGCTCCTCATGCGGGGACATGAGAGAAGCCCTCCACAAGGATGATAAAAACATCAAATCATCCAGGCGTCCCCTGGGCAACATCCTTGCAGACAGCCAATTCTCTCACACCAAAAGCGACTCCTGACACGATAAAAAATAAAATAAAATAAATAAAACTTCTAGGATGCATGTAAATATTGATAATTATTTCTAGCTCATTTTCCATGATGGTTTATAACCCGAGTATGTACTATGACGCAAACACAACTTGAAGGGTGGGCTCCTTTAAAGTTCTTTGGGTTGAGATCATTTCAAGCAGGAAAAGGCCAAAGTTTAAGGATGAGGACATATTTTTTTTGGACATGAGATCTAGGATTGGTGTCTCCCACCCCTTTTACTTTCTTAATAGAAGTGTGTAACAGAGTGCTTCAATAGAAGTTGCTTGTGGGAGTCTGTGGTGAATGAATCACACTTCTTAACAGAGCCGGAGTCATAGCTGCCAGAGTAAAATGTCTGTGTATGGGGAGAAGAGGGTCCTTTTTTAAAATAGATGTATGTCCCTGCCATAGACTCATAGAGATGGAAGAGACCCCAAGGGCCATCAATCTCACCTCCTCCCATGAAGGAAAAGCACAATCAAAGCACACATGGCCACCCAGCTCTGTTTAAAAGCTTTCAAAAATGGAGTTTCTAGCAGACTCCGAAGTAGAGAGTTCCACTGCTGAACTGCTCTGACAGTCAGGAAGCTTCCTAATGTTCAGGTTGAATATCCTTTCCTGGAAATTGAACCCATTGCTCCATTGAGTCCTACTTTCCAGGGCAGCAGAAAACAAGCCTGGTCCCTCTTCCTTTTGAGACCCTTTCACATATTTAAACATGGCAATAATAGAATCATAGAATCAAAGAGTTGGAAGAGACCTCATGGGCCATCCAGTCCAACCCCCTGCCAAGAAGCAGGAATATTGCATTCAAATCACCCTTGACAGATGGCCATCCAGCCTCTGCTTAAAAGCTTCCAAAGAAGGAGCCTCCACCACACTCCGGGGCAGAGAGTTCCACTGCTGAACGGCTCTCACAGTCAGGAAGTTCTTCCTCGTGTTCAGATGGAATCTCCTCTCTTGTAGTTTGAAGCCATTGTTCCACGTCCTAGTCTCCAAGGAAGCAGAAAACAAGCTTGCTCCCTCCTCCCTGTGACTTCCTCTCACATATTTATACATGGCTATCATATCTCAGCCTTCTCTTCTTCAGGCTAAACATGCCCAGCTCCTTAAGCCGCTCCTCATAGGGCTTGTTCTCCAGACCCTTGATCATTTTAGTCGCCCTCCTCTGGACACATTCCAGCTTGTCAATTGTGGTGCCCAGAATTGGACACAATATTCCAGGTGTGGTCTAACCAAAGCAGAATAGAGAGGTAGCATTACTTCCCTAGATCTAGACACTATGCTCCTCTTGATGCAGGCCAAAATCCCATTGGCTTTTTTTGCCGCCACATCACATTCCTGGCTCATGTTTTACTCATGTCTCCTCTCAGCCTTCTCTTCTTCAGACTAAACATACCCAGCTCTTTAAGCCACTCCTCAAAGGGCACGGTGTTCAGACCTTTGATCATTTTAGTTACATTTCTCTCAACATGTTCCAGTTTGTCAATATTCCTCTTGAATTGTGGTGCCCAAAACTGTGTATTCTCTAGAAATAATTATCCAGAGTTGGCCCTATGCATCAATGGCTTGA